ATGAATACTAAAGACTGTGCGATGCCCTAATTTCACCTTGAGCCACTAGCAGCTAAAACTGTAATCAACGCTGTTATAAAAAATCCTTCGTAATTCACTTTATAGTGGCCTTTATTTACTACCCACCATTGTGTTTGATCCATATTCAGAGTATGACATCCATCCACTCGTCAGCGCCTTCAAAACCTCACAGAAATGCAACGTGTCGCTCCCTTTAGACACAGACGGGCTGTTCCGCCATTCCTCAGGCTAAGGCCGTAGCTCGGCGATGGCCCTATAACCACGAGGTCGGCGTTTTGATGCTACTGTCCACAAGTGTCCTTGGAAGAGACACTGAGCTCCCCAGAGTCTTTACACCACTCAGGATTGGTTTAATGCAGAGGTGTCTGTTTATGAACATATGTACTAAATGTCAGTTTATCCACTTGATATCGGGGGGTTTTCCTGCGATTTCGATTGCTTCTTACTGTTTCTGTTCGTTGGTTTAACTCCATTAAAAAGACTGGAGACCTGGTGAATGAACAGCATCTGGAGCATCTGCAGATGTGGTTGAAAGCTCTCCAAAAAGACAGTGAGTGTAACTTCAATAGAAATGTCAGCCACAAAGACCTCGACTAATGCTTGTATCTGCCTGCATGCGATTCAGGAATCAGGAATCAGGAATCAGGAAACATTTATTACCAAAATATGTCAAACATACAAGGAATTTGTCTTGGCGGTTGGTGCGCGACAGTAGACAGTGTGACAAAAGACAACAAGACAGCAGTGCACAAGTAATGAAATAAAGTAAAATGAAATGCTAATGCAATGGGTTAGTAGAATAAGGCTATGGGTTAGTATAAAACAAGGGAATAAAGTTAAAGTTAAACATGTAAAATATTAACAAAGTTAAAAAAAATATTAAGCATAAAGTGCACTAGCGAACAAGTAACAAAGTGACGAGTGACGACAAAGTGATAAATTACAGTTAAAGGGACATGTGCAGTGTGAAGGGGAGTGACCGGTGGAGTGTTATAGTCAGGCAGTGGGGGACCGGGCTCTGTTGATGAGCCCGACTGCCGACGGGAAGAAACTGTTCGTGTGGCGTGTGTCTTAGTCCTGATGGACCTCAGCCTCCTGCCAGATGGAAGGGGCACAAACAGGTTTTGTCCGGGGTGGGAGGGGTCGGCTACGATCTTTTTAGCTCGCTTCAGAGACCTGGAAGCGAACAAGTCCTGCAGGGACGGCAGATTGCAACCGATCACCCTCTCTGCAGAGCGGATGACCCGCTGAAGCCTACCCTTGTCCTTGGCTGTGGCTGCAGCGTACCAGACGGTGATGGAGGAGCAGAGGATGGACTCCATGATGGCCGTGTAAAAGTGGACCATCATCGTCTTTGGCAGGTTGAATTTCTTCAGCTGCCTCAGGAAGAACAACCTCTGCTGAGCCTTCTTTGTGATGGAGCTGATGTTCAACTCCCACTTGACGGGGGAGTCACGCAGGGTGATGGGGGAGGGTGGGGCTCTGTTCCGCCGGAAATCCACAACCATCTGCACTGTCTTTAGAGCGTTGAGCTCCAGGTGGTTCTGGCTGCACCACGACACCAGATGGTCAGACTCCCACCTGTAGGCGGACTCGTACCCACCAGAGATTAGTCCAATGAGGGTGGTGTCATCCGCAAACTTCAGGAGCTTGACGGACTGGTGGCTGGAGGTGCAGCTGTTGGTGTACAGGGAGAAGAGCAGAGGGGAAAGAACGCAGCCTTGGGGGCTGGTTGGGGATGATGGTCCGAGAGCCTGAGACATGTTTCCCCAGCTTCCCGTGCTGCTTCCTGTCAGACAGGAAGTCTGTGATCCACTTGCAGGTGGAGTCGGGCACGTGCAGCTGGGAGAGTTTGTCCTGCAGCAGAGACGGGATGATGGTGTTGAAGGCAGAGCTGAAGTCCACAAACAGGATCCTGGCGTAGGTTCCTGGGGAGTCCAGCCGGCTGGTGGAGCTGTGGGGGATGGAATCAGGACATTGTCTTTCGAATCTGCAGTAGAACTCAGGCAGATTCACTGCAACATTTCGTGAGTTGTTTTTGACCAATGCCAAACCCTTCGGTTTAATGAAAATGTGTAGTCGTTTTTCTGTAATCCAGACATTAAATGAAAACATAACCCTCTTTGTGGAGGTAATTTACCACATACTGTAAATACTGTGTATTATTTTATTAGTCCTATACTTCCATTTTTATAGACGGATTCCGTCATTGCTTCCTGTATGTTATCTTTCCTCCATACCTCCTTTGTTTTGCACCTTCCTTCCATCAGCTGAAGTGGTGTAATCGGACACTGGATTTTAACTTCCTTTCTCAATGAGTAAACTTTTACTTGTGTCACTACATTTCCATGTTAATGAATGACGTTAAATCGTGAATGCAGCATCCTCATTGCATTTTCTTTTGAGTTGCCTTTGAGCATTTCCAACCACTGTATCACGGGCGTTCACATGATTCACGACCAAACAAAACATGCATTCACCGCACAAGTATGTGCATAAGCGACTGTTCTTGTGCACGTGCACGTGTCCGCATGCGGGATCAAGTTCAAATCTGCTGCAGCCTCGTCTGCATAGTGACACCCGAGGGTGTTGGAGGGTTCTGGTCTGAGGCCCGGCACAGCCTACACCGCCTACACCTTCTACACCGCCTTCTCGGGGTCATCGCAGGGCTTTTCAGTTTGTTCTCGACAGCCGGGAACAGCTTGGGAACACCCACGCCGAGAGGTACTCCAGGTTTTACGCGACAGTAATCTCCGCTTGTGATGCCTTTTCTCAAACGCTGCATTTGTGTGAGCGCGTGCAGGTGTGCGGGTGCAGCAACGTTGTGCGGAAACTTTCTGCATAACGCACGGCTTCATGCACAGCGTCTGCATGAGCGCACCGCGCCTCTCACACGGTCTTTATTGACGCGCGTCCCCGTCGCGCTTCTCCCCGCGTCCTGATGGCAAAAGGGAACGATGGAATGTTTGAGGGTAACGCTCCGGTTTCCTGGAAGCTGCTTCTGCTGCTTTATCAGAAGCGGCTGTGACAACACGCGAGCTGACGGGCCAAAAGTACGTATTTCCTATAAGCGCGCATCGGCCAAGAAAGAAATCAAAAAAAGAAGAAAAAAAACGCCTTCCTGGAAGAAACACCCAACAGGCCGGAGCTGCTGCCTGGAAACCCGCCGTGCATCGCTCCTTACGACACGTGCCGCAATTTAACGTTCTTTCCACCTTCCGAGAGTTGACGTTTAGCGTGAGTTTAAAACAATTGAAGCCAAACACACGCTTTTAATAATAGGCGCTCAGAATAATACCGCAACAATGTCATCGGTCGCTTTGAGAGAAAATGTGTGCCCCCCATGTAATACAGCAGTATGTGTCTTACCCCAGAAAGACACACTGTCCTCCACACTCCGACGCGGATGTTCTGATAGTTAAACATAACAACACAGACAGAACTCGGCCGTTCGATGACAAACATGGAGTCATTACCCGAAAAACAACTGATCCGAGGTGGAAAGACTTTCAATGAGTGTGAGAGATTCGCGCGGGGGGGACACGTGAGTCACGATGAGCCCGCGTGCTTCTGTTCGAAACTGGATCATTCCGGTTGGATTTTTGGGAAGAAGGCTCTGTGATGCTGTTCGAAAGACGTAACTTTGTTGTCTATAAAGGCTCTCTTAGTCCTGTATACACCCCACACACACACACACACACACACTCAACTTTCAACACACACTTTTTCCTGTGTGTCATAGCAAAATAAGGGACTGTGAAACTGGGCTCTTGAGTTATTGCAACTACCTTCACTGAGGTAAGCCGTGAAAACAGTCCTCTCTTTCACTTCCAAAGAAGCCTGACGGGTGTGTGTGTGTGTGTGGTGAATGATGTAATGCACATAAAACATTTCAATTAAGTTTAATGTAACATTTCAAGAGCTAGACGGCATCCTCAGGTGGCATCCCCATCCCCATCTCTCTCTCTCTCTCACACACACACACACACACACAGAGTTTCTTCCCTTCAGTATTCCTTAAACACACACACACAATTCCCATTCCCGGCATTCTTTGTGTTCTATGTGAGGCCGGGTTCCAGGAAAACAGGGAACCTTCAGTGCAGTTTTTACGGCTCGGCTGCTGGTGGTTGTGTGTGTGTGTGTGTGTACGTTCGAGTGAGTGAGAGCAATTGAGGTGTTTTTTATGTGCGCGTGTGTGTTTGAAAGATACTTGAGTGAAGAAACTTACATTCGTTTTACTAACAACAATCTACACACCCAAACACACTTTGGTTACACACTTAAAAACCAGGGAGCATCATAAATCTCTTCCACGTGGAGCCTTTCACCCATTTGACCTCAAACACACACAGACACACACACACATACACACTCTCTCTCTTTCTAGAGGACACCATCATCACAGGCCTTTAGGCAGGATGTATAAAACCCAGCTGCATTCCTTTCCAGTAAAGTCCAGCCCAAAGTGGGTTCTCGACACAGTAACTGCTGTGTCAAAGTGTGTGTGTGTGTGTGTGTGTGTTACCATAACTGTGTGCTTCTGGGAATCCCTTTGTTACTGTTGTGTTAATCTGCAGGGAACCTCGTCCGACCTAACCGCCAAGTTCTATACGTTCCCTGATGCTTCAGGAATTTACCCACAATGCTTCAGCAGAAAAGAAAAACAAAAAGGGATAATGGCAGAGATTTTAACCCTACAATAAATGTGTGTGTGTGTGTGCGCGCGCGCTCGTACAGGGACGCTGTAGCCCTTTGAAAGCCTGCCGACTGAATAAACACGGCTTTGTTTTTCACGGGGAAATCCGATTCGTGGGGCAGTAATCTGGAATACAGTTCGCCCCAACAATGCAATACGATAAGTTACGTCAATATTGTCTCAGTGGAGTAAGAGAGAGAGAGAGAGAGAGAGAGAGAGAGAGAGAGAAAGAAGAAGGAGGCACAGTAATAAAAATAAAAAAACAGGGAAGTAACACACATTGACTTTTGTAAAAATAGTGCTCTTTAATATAAATTATTGAAATATTTTAGAAATATAAATATGTGCAACGTTTCCTTTTCATTGACTTTTCTCGTTGTATGTAATGCTTTGTCATTTCGGATATAACAGCTTGTATCTTTGCCAGACCAGTGGCCAGCCTTTAGCGAGAGAGTCTTTATAAAAGACGAAATGATTCAAATACACATGTGGTCCTCTGGTGCAACACATGTAAAAAAAAACAGAAACAAACTTGGTGTTGACGGGAGAAAATATTTCCAAAAAGAAGTAAGGAAAGTATCACTGTGGTACTATTTCAGCACTCTTGTCTCGAGTGAACACATGAGATCACAAAGTTTAATGATGTGAAAAGGCTACCACTCCAATATGGATCACAGGTAAGTATGAGCACTGGTCAAACACAGACAGAAACAATTCTGATCAAATCTGAGTCTCTGTTTTACAAAAGGCCGTCTTTTTCCACTCTCAGGAGGTTTTGTGTTCCCCCCCCCGGACCCTCAGACACAGAAAACCAACTCCCGCTTCAGAGGCAACGATGAGACGGAGGACGAGAAGCCTTTCTAAAGTTACTGGGATTGAAAACGTTTTCTCCTTCATGAGCACTTAAAAGAAAGAAGAAAAAAAAACACGTTGGAGATGATAATGTTGGAGGAGGAATTGCTCTGAGAGGGTCTGAAGGAGAGAATTAAGACTCAGCCAAGAACGTCTTTTTCACATCTTGGCAGACGTGGCTTTACGTTTTAAAGGAGCGGCGTCCTGTCCAGCTTCATCGTTTCCTCCAAGTCTGGGGCATCAATCACATCACTGTTTCTGTTTAGCCGTGTACCAGTATGTCTCCTCCCCCTTCCCCAGTTCTCCCTCCTCTTCAATTTCCCTTTCCTAATCCCATTTCCCGCTCTTCTTTCTCCTTCGTTCAACCCCCCCCCTCCTCCTCTCCTTCAAATGTTATGGATCATCATCACCGCTCCCCGAGGCGCTTGAACGGGGACATTTTCTATCCCGCCAGTCTGGATAAAAATAAATTCTGCTGTTTGGTTTCGTGCCAAAGCTTTAGTCTCAGCAACACGCTTCCGACTCGAAGGGCCGCAGGGCGACGGAGGAGAACCAGGAAGCAAACAGGAGAACATGCTTGGCATCGCGGGGTTTTTTTTCCGGGCCGTCTCTTGTTCCCACGCTTTCAAAAAAAAAAGAAAAACCTTCATGCTGGCCTGTAGCATTGTGTGTGTGTGTGTGCGTGTGTGTGTGTGTGTGGAGCTGCCATGCACAACCCCCCCCCCACCCTGCCCCCGCCCCTCAGTGAGGCAACGTTTGCGGGAAGCAGCAATGGAAATGTGTGCGCTACCACAACACACACAGACTCACGCAGACAAATAAAACTGTATGTTCTCTGCTTCGCCTCCCCCCCCTCCCCTCTCCTCCTCCCGCCCCGACCCCTGTGTTTGGACTTTGCTTTTTCACCGTCAGCTCCTCCTCCATTGACCCCGTCTGCACCTCCCCGTTGTTTTGTCCTGTTTCCTGTCAGATTGTCGTGAATGTCCGGCGGAGAGAGAGGAGACGTTTCTGATCACGGCGTCGCTAGTAGCGACCCAATCGGGTTAATCTTCTACGAGGCTCCGCTCTGCGTCTTGAGTCAGTCACGGGAAACGTTGACCTTTGACCTTCTGGCACGGTTTTGCCACTCACAGTGGTGGTCAGGACGGACGAGGTAATCATTGGTTACCCGATGGGAGGGGGTTCTGGCCTCGACGCGACAACAGAACGCGAGACCTCGCGTCGGCGCCCGAGGTTGGTCGAGGTTTGTGGAACTTCTCGCGCTTGCCGTCGGTCATATAGTGGCGTCGTACTCCTCCAGGAAGTCTTTAAGCCTGTGCGGCAGCTGCTCCGCTCCCCCCGACCCCTCCTGGTTGTTCAGGGCCCTCCTGCACATGTGCTGCAGGGAGGAGAGGGAACTCGAGAGGGGCCGCCGCAGTTCCAAGGGGATCTTCTCCCCGCTGGTGTGAATGAGATACGCGCTGCAGCCGCTCTTCTCCGCCTCTCTTGAATTACCCCCACACGGCGCTTCTCTGCCCCGTCCACCGTCCGGCCCTTTGCTCATGTAGTGCGCCACAAGCTTCAGCACGCAGTCGAACTGCCGGGGCTCCTGGGTGTTTTGGGGGTCCGGCTGCAGGAAGAAGCCGCCTCCCTCGCTGTGGATGCGCAGGTTCTTGGGTCCCCGAGACGTCTGGATGGAGAGGGTGAAGAAGTGGTGGTGGTCCGAGGAGTCGCGGATCAGAAAGGTGCCGGGCGGTTCGGAGCGCAGCCGGGCGCTGGCTTCCCGGCCCCCCACGGCCCCCCAGTAAAACCCACTCTCCTGCAGCTTACGCAGCGCACGCATCACCTGCAACGAGCCGGGGGAAAGAAGAAACTACAGTTATTAGAAGTCGTGAGCCCCTTTTTTACACTTTGGGGCATTTTCTCGTCTCAGACTGACCTGCTGGTAGTGTTCGTGCGAGCTGAAGGGCTTGTAGTGATGCAGGGTGCGGTTTGACCCCTGAACCCGGCCCTCCGGAGGGGTCACGCTGCTCATGGCGGCGGGGTTGCGCCCGCTGGAGGCTACCGTGGCGCCATGGCCCCCCGCCTCTGCCCACTGGTCGAGAGGCAGGGGGCCCAGGACAGGAGCGCCGAGGCGGACAGGTGGAAAGGAGCTCGGTGCGGAGGGAGTGGGGAGAGGGGGGGGATGGGGCGAGGGAGGGGGGGTCACACACCGGGTCCAGGGCCCCGGGGCAGAGGAGTCCGATGCATCCAGAGAGGGGCTGGGAGAGAGCACCTAAACACAGCTGGAGACAGGGAGCACAGATGATGCATCTATAGAGGCTGTGGAAGTTCATTCATATGAACAAAGCTCCGCTGTGCCACGCCAGGGCGCGCGCAGTTCAGCCTCATAAAGATGCAGTTCTGACCATTCCGACAAATGCACGAGGCGAGACTGGGAAAGCGGGGTTATATTTAGTGCAAATGAACGTTCGCTGCTGCTGCACAACGTGCAGACGGACGGCAACTGGATCCTGATTGCTTTAAATTGCCTTCGATCGCGCGTACCGCAACGAGGGATTTCACCGAAACGGGGTCACCGTGAATGAGTCCGGCGCGCTTTTTGTTTGTTTTGTTTTCATCATCTCCCCCTTTCAGTGAATAACGCCGTGTTCCCTGCTCAGGCCGCGCCACAGAGGCCCCGGTTCTCCGGTTTCCGTGTGACTAAAAAGAAAAGGTGTCCCGTCTGGTCCGGTTTGCTGTGATCCCCTGACGGGGGGGTTGAACACGGCGACAGCGGGCAGTGCGCGGCGGCGGCGGCGGAGGAGGAGGAGGAGACGCGCGAGGCGCCATAACGGTTCAGAACCGGTACGGAGGTGCGCTGGTATGGAAGTGGTCCTACTCGCAATATACCCGCTAAATGACACCTCCAACCTCCTCGGCTGCGCTGCACCAAAGAGCCCCGATGCGGCCGTGCTTAGAATCCGCACGGACCCCCGTCCCCCCCTCGGGTGATGCACAACGCTTGGACGTCTTTCTACACTCAACTTACCTCGAGGATATGTTCAGCCCCGCGCCGCAGCTGCTCTTCGCCAAAAAAAAAGATACGCAAACTACCCGAGAGTAGTGCTAAATGAAATATTAACACAGGCATTAAAATCCTAAAAAAAAAAAAAAAAGTATCCAAGAAGCGTGTCGGTTCCTTTCCTGCGCGGAGGAATGTGGCGTCGCTGAAGGCAGAGCCGTGTGCGTAAAGGTTACTGGAGGGTGTTTCGGAATAAAGCCGATGTTCGTAAGGCTCCGCCTCCCGCGTGAGGATGCTCTTCCAGGAATCACGCCCGCGCGCGCGCACTCACACACACACACACGCGCGCGCGCTCGCACGCAGAGAACACATGGACGTGCCCGCGCCCGTTTCTTGGCAGAGTGCCGTTGGATAATCAGCGTGACCTTTTTTTTCTCGCCGGGCTGTTTCCTGGTACTGATGGGTTCCCTCCTGCACGAGGTGAACAATTTACCAGACTCCGCGTATAACAATGGAAACAATAATAATGATAATAATTGGTTTCATTATTATATATGAGTGTTTCAGACTTAAATCATGAGTCCACGTGAACTGCAGTGAAACGAGACGCTGTTGTACTGCTGTGATATTATGACAATGCTTCATATTTAGCATTGTGAGATCATTTGATTTGTAATAATGCAGTAAAAAGTGTGTAAGATAAAATGAAAACACTAATGTAAAATACACAACCTTTCGATCCTTTCATGTTTTCCGTTGACACCATAATTGATGATTAACATTCATCAGAGCAACATGTAACGTTTGAAGATGTCCCTCAGGCACGTGTGTTGTGTCAGGAAGCACCTGACTTACTGTCAGTGCTCTTGAGCAACAACTGGCTCCACTGCTGCCCGAAAACCTCTATTACAGGCACAAATAAACAGGTCTGCATCCAAGTTAAAGGTATGAAGGTACCATCAAAAACAATTTGAAGGCATCACATGTAAAAACACTAATGATGCAGAAATGTCTGTCAGTGTTATACTGTATTGTAACATTAATTTGCAAGCAGCATTTTATTCTTATATCTGGTACGTTGAGCTATATTAAATGGTTTTTACTTTTACTGTTGGGTAGTTTTATATACACAACAATGTGAATGCCAAAGTGGGTGTTATCAGAAATAACCATTGGAAGTTATAATTGTATAAAGAAAAACAAAAAAATTAACGCCATTACTTATTTCCCATATAAACAAAATTATATTAAAAGACCAAGGAAAGACAAACTTCAAATAAAATAACACAAATCAAACAACCATAATAATGTCAACATTCATAATAATACAGAAAAGAATTATATAAATAATAAGAATAATGATGTTGCTTACAGGTTGACCACTAGACGTCATTTGAAGGAATTTAAACCTTCACGTAACCATTTCTGGGAATTACTTCATTTATTGTTGGACGTAAGTCATACTAGTCAAACTAGTTATCAGCATGCAGCGTTTCTACCATTAAAGCCCCGCGTGTCTGTCAACTGCGCTGCTGTGTCAATAAAGTTTATTCAAAGTCTCTCTGCGGCATCAATGGCGGCCCCCATGACATGGAGGAGGCTGGTGGTCTCCGTGTACTCGCCGGCCATCACCGGGGTTTTCACACGAATATCTGACCGGCTTTTCCGCGCGCGGGACCGGAGAGGAGGGTAAGAGACGTGAATCGCGCGCGCGGGGCACGAAGCGGCGCTTTCGATCACGAAAGAGACCGAGATGCTTCTGCTAACGTTGTCCCTGCTAATGGCGTCAGTTCACTACCTGACGTGCGCTCTCTTACTGACCCACGCTGTGCGTTTAGGGTGAAACTTCAGACTGTGCTCATTTCCACCGGCCGATAAGCTTCCCAGCAGAAGGCAACCTTCAGGGAAAGTAGGAGTTTCCATCACTGAAGGTTAAAGGTCCGTGCGTGCTGTCACTGAATGCTCAGTTAGATTAAAGTATACAAGCTTTATGTTGATACAAACTGCTACTACAGGTATCTTAACTATAGCTAAAGTTAGGCTTGATACATACAAGTTATGTTTCACAAAAGTGAAAGTATGGACCATCTCAAAGTAATGTACTTTGGCATATTGAAGGACAATAAATCCCTCTACGAGGAAATCATGATACTAATTAGATGGATGTAGTATTAATCCCAAGGGGGACATTTGAGTGTAGCATACTGCGATACAGTGATTACAAAGGCACAATACAATAGCAGAGCAGAACATATTCAAATAATGTTGAGAATGAAATAGAAGTACAGTAGTCCAAACGGCCCTCGGCAGGTTCTGTTTGTTTCCCTACCGAGCAGTGGTGTTCCCCCCTCAGGACCCCCGTGATTGTCCAGGAGAATAGAAGTTCCTCAGCTCAGGCCTCAGGCGACGTGGTCCTTCCATTCGAGTGTCCCAGCGTGCCACCATGTCAAAACACCAGGAAGCTGAAGCAGTTCAATGGAGTCCAGGCGTCAGTTAACTATTTAAATGTCTCTTGCGGGACGCCTTGTTACTGTTTTAGTTAATCGGCGGTAAATTTCCTCCATCCGTTTCCTGGTATGTGTCTCTGTCACCGGGGGAACCGGTTCGAACAATGTCTTCAATAGACTTCTTATCTCATGCTGTGATCCTGCATCATTCCCTCCATCATGTAAACCACCACTCACTTTTTGCAATGTAGAATATATCTAAATATATATGTGTGTGTGTGTGTGTGTGTGTGTGTGTGTGTGTGTATATATATATATATATATATATATATATATATATATATATATATATATATATATATATATATATATATATAGAGAGAGAGAGAGAGATATTTTAAAAAGACAGAGATCCGTTGAGACAGACGGGGGTTTAAATGTATTAAGGATGCAAAGAGATAATTGTGGATTTTTTACTTCTGGGGAGGCCGGAAGGACATCGTTGTTTCATGTCACGTGGTTCGAATCATGAGCTGCAGTCACATGGTAAAGTAAACAGCTCCTCTGTTCACGCAGTAACGACCGTTATTCATTTAGCGTCTAATCTCATTGAATGTTAGGAGTTAACTTCATCTCAGTTTCACGTCAGCGCTGTTCTTGGAAGCGCAGCTCATCTCAATTTAGGGGGCATCCACAGACACCATGTTGATAATGTATCTGTAACCCGAACCGTTTTTAAGGATTTAAAAATCTTCCTCGACTCTGGAGACTTTTATTTCTCTGTAGTTTCACTGAGGTAACAGTTCATTTTATATTGTTCTGCTCTTCCCTGAAATAGAAAAAAGCAAAGCTGCTCTTATTTCCTGACACATCCTTCTTATCTTTTACTGCTCGCAGTAAACCGTAAAGGTTTTGGGTTCAGCTGGCCGATCCGCCGCATTATACAGAGCGAGCTCAACGTATCTTTTCGATAACGTTTGTAACTTTTACCGCCGCCTGGACACGAGGACGTTCTGTGACGCACTGCAGTTGTTTTATGGCTCTTTGGGTGGAACGTGTGTTTATGAATGATAGGCGTTTATTACCAAATAACGGAGAAATCTCTTTCATACGTTTGCTGTTCTAACTCCGCTAGGTGGCTTTGGAAAGAAGCTCCGGGTTGATTTTCTTTTTTATGTTTCCTCTGACTTCTTGCATGTTCTGGTTATTTTTTTGTGGCGTGGGTCAGAAAGTTAGTCATCAAGAATTCTGTTGCAAACAAATGTTCGTTTTTAATTCAAATGTTTTGTACTGATGTGATCATGACAATCGAACTGAACGTCTTGTTGTGGAGCATAAAGCGCAGATAAACAATCCGCCGTCTCCTTCCAGGTCCTCGGTGCTGCTGCTGGCCCCCCTCCTGGCCGAGGCGGACCCGCCCCCCCGCCGGGTCCCCAGGCCCGCCGGGTCGACCGGCGCTCAGGGCTCCGGCGGCCTCTGCGCCCACTTCCAATGGATGGCGGAACACGTGCCGGCCTTCCGCGTGCCGGGCAACCGCATCCACGTGCTCACCTCGCCCGACCACTTCTACCAGACCATGAAGGTCGGTGTCGCTGCGCCGATAAACATTTCCTCTCGGCCGCAGAGGAATTGATTAGAACTAAAAAAAACAAAGAGAAAAGGCAGCCGGTATTGACTTTGAAGATTTGTTCCTTGTCGTTGATGCATTTGTGAGATTCGGGGCTGAGAAAGCGCCCGAGGGCTTGCAGGAGGCGTTTCTCCACCCACGCAGAACGAATGTGCGTTCTCTGAATAATGAGTCGGCGGAGAATCACACGGCAGTAGCCAGGGATGAATTGTTTAAGCCAGGCTTCGTATATTTAGGCTTGCAAATCTGGAAACTTGACCAACTAGTTAAAAATGGGTTCGATCGGATCGAAAAAGCAAATGTACAGTTGGCACGAAAACCGTTTCAGTTCTAAACTGTATTGTTATCTTCATTCCTTCACGCGGTCCCACACCTGCCGCGTGTCACCGCGATGGAATTCTTTTATGTTTCCTCTTACTTTATCCTATTCGGCTGCTGCAAGGACAAAGAAACAGGAAGAAAGTTCCTGTGATGCAGCTTCCCCCGTACAAGGATAACGTTTTGCATTTAAAGAATTCTCCAAACATCATGAGTCATGTGTTCATAGGTGTGATTCTCAAAAAACAAAACAATAGAACGCTTAATTCTCTGAACACCACGGCAACCGGAGGGGAAAACAACCGGAGCCACAATACGATACAAAGGGCCAATAAAAGGCCAGTGGAGCACACAAAGGCGCATCTCAGCTCCCCGTATCGGGTTACAGGGCAAGTTAGCGGAGTTAAAAGTTAAAAAGTCCTCTTAGCTCAACGGCAACGATGCGCTAGATACCAGAGAACAAGAGTGTGAGATCGCTCAGGGGGCAAAACACACCTACGATTGTGAAGGAACAGCAAATTATTTCTTTCACTTTTCAAAAATGTCTTACTGCTAGTGTTGCTAAAAGCAAAATGAACCATCGACAAGTCACTGCTCACTAAATCACTTTCCGTCTCACACATTTCAAAACATTTCCTTCTGTCTGATTTTGCAAATCATCGTGACACGCTCGTGTTTTCAGAACCGGAGAGGAACTTGTGTAGTGCCCTGGGCGAAATGAAAAGGAAGCGGCACACAAAACCACGTGAAAAGATTATTGGCTCTTTGAATTTGTTGCCGTCGGATACGAAAGCGCTCCATTGGAAAACATGACAATTATCTATATTGGAAAATTCCAAGTGGACTAAAACGACCTTTCCGTCCTTTTTTTTAAAGGGCCGGATCGCTCAAATTGGAAAAGATTATAACTTTTCACTCACCCGTTTGTGTTATCAAGCTGAGATTTCTTCCTTTACTTTGGTACAAAGGAGGTGGATGGAATTTCGTTTGTGGTGCTCAGTTGAAAAATTAACCGACTTTCTATTTCAAATGAAAATACAAAATATTACCAACTTCCAGCTCTTCAACTGTGAGGATTAACTGCTGTTTTCTTGTTTTTCCAGTATTCTTGACCGCTACATTTTTTCTTTTTGCACTTTTGCAGAAATCTGAAGACGTTTTGGGGGCTTTTAAATATGTCCTTTTCCACAATGAATCAAGAAAAAAAACAATCACTATAATAATCGCTTGTGGCACAAACACTGCCCTAGTTTCTCTAGATAATTCATTCATAATTCAAACATCCATTCCAGCGATCGGAACTACTTTCCATTGGAGGAAGTGTCCCATTGAAAACGTCTTTATCCATTATCCAGAGAAACCAAGAAGTTTTTAATATTGTGTTATTCTGTGTTTTGTTTTGTTTCAAACCTCAGCCTTCTGTCCTCTGATCACCTCAGACTGACTTTAACTTCAGCCTCCATTAAATAAAAACCCGATGCAGAAAACCCAGAGAAACCAGAACAAATAAGAAAAAAACACTCCCCACTGGAAATAAGCCGTAGTCCAGCTCCGCACCCGATAACACCACACAAAATGTCTTTTTTGTTATTTGCTGATTTCCTCGGGCAAACTGACAGTAAATGAACCGACGCCCACTCACGGATACGTTTGTTTCCCTTCAGGCGCGGATCAAGACGGCGAGGAGGCGAGTGGTGATGGCCTCGTTGTATCTAGGAACCGGTCAGCTGGAGCAGGAGCTGGTGAGAACAGTGGCGTGTGTGTGTGTGTGTGCGTGTGCGTGTGTGTGTCTGCGTGAGAGGGATCCATTGTTGGAGCAGTTGTTCGTGCCTTTTTAGCTTTCGGTCAGGTGAGAACAACGGCCTCCAAACACAAACGTGCGCCAAAACGGGGGTTGGACATGCCAGAATTTGTGAGTCAGAGTTGCCTTCCAAGAGAACCGCAGCTCGCCTGAGAATGTAAATGTAGTCCAGGCCGGCTACAAGGAATGACCCCCAGACCCGAGGGTTTATGGCTATAAGGAGGCCAGTGTTGGCACGTGATACCCTGCTGTTTTTCATGCTCGGAAGGCCCAGCATAACAACATGAACCCAGAACAGACCGCAGTCTGGACTCGCATTCAGCTGTTTTTCATTTGGTTGTTTTTTTTCAACTGGTTTTCGAGCAGCAGAGCGGATGAATCACGGAACGAAGCCCGGACGAGTCGAACACGTTAAATTACAGTTAAAAGCATTCGAATCAGGTGTGATCGCTGCCGAGCATCCGCAGCCTCAGAGTGATGGATCACCAGAAGCGTAGATTGAAGGAACGTGGAGTCCATGTCGTTTGTCAAGCTCAGGTTTCATTGTAATTGGACACAATGACCTAAACTGAATGAGGACTCAAACTGTGAGTGTGGTCTTTGGACAATACCCGAGGATCCAGATCCCGGGCGCGGCACACAAGCTCCTGGTCCGACGCTGACAGTCGCACGCGTTAATGCAAGTCCAAGTGGAGAGTGCGGCTTTTGCACGTTGTTATAAAGCCTTTGTGGCTCCCGCAGGAGCTCCTTCATGTGATGTCACTTGTTCCCACATGTTTCTGGTAGAGAGCTCGAAAAGAAATATATTAAAAACCAAACATGCAAATGTATAAATCATACCGAGGACGCGTCTGAATGTGGAGGGGAGGTTAATGGTTTAAATCTGGGGCATTAAACTCAAATTACAGAGGAGCTGCTGACCATTTTCTTTTCTCCAACAGTAATAAACCAACCATTACTATTTAAACACTTATTCATATAACTGTATATGGTCACTCTGCTCCTTGAGATTCTATTCCCGGAGAACATCAGCTTTTTCCTTTGTAGGTGAAACCGGATACAGTCACATTAAACATTACTTAATCAAACGTCCCCGTTTCCTCTAACCGTCCTCTACTACCTGCATGTCTTCCGCTCTGCAGTAGAACATGACCGTCAGTGCGTAGAATAATCACGCTGCAGCTTGATTGAATGCAATAGTGACGCAAACACTTTATTCTGGGAAAACAAGGGATGCAAAGCTCTGTTTGCAGAACAAGGACTCCGAGTGAGAAGTGAAAACCTGATTTCAGACAAACGGGAAACTGATTTTTTGTTTATTTTTGAAGAAGTATTTTGCCGTTAAAGAGCTGAGCAAAGCAATTGAAAATAAAATGGGATGGCTGCACGTACTGCCCGCGGTTATTACCAAATAATTGCCCGCGGTTATTACCGATTAATCTATCTATCATTTTCTTTGACCAATTGACATCCAACCAACACTCTCAAAACCCTTTTGCTTTCAGAAGCCGAAGGCAGTAAACTAGTCTTTGCACGACAAACAATAAGTTGGCCCGTTAAGCCGCCGTCGACTGACCGCCGTCCCTCGTTCCTCCTCCAGGTGGACTGCATGGAGGAGGCTCTGCTGCGCTCGCGGGAGAACGCCGACGCCCCCGACCTGAAGGTCTCCATCCTGCTGGACTACACTCGCGGCTCACGAGGTTTCCCCCCCGAAGTCTCCCTCTCTCACGTCTCACTTGTTGTCACCCCACCCGATGCCTCGTCATGCGCCCTTTTGGTTTTGAATCCATTATTTTTTTCCCCCGCAGGACAGACCAACTCCAGGACCGTGCTGCTGCCGTTGCTGCGGCGCTTCGCCTCCCAGATGAGGGTGTCTCTGTACCACACCCCGGACCTAAGGGGCCTGCTGCGCCTGCTGGTGCCGCAGCGCTTCAACGAGACCATCGGCGTCCAGCACATCAAAGTCTACCTGTTTGACGACAGCGTCATCATCAGCGGGTGCGTTTGTTTTGTTTGCCCCCGGCGGGGAATGTTTTTCGCTTGAGGGACCGAGAGTCCGCGTGCAGGACGCTTTTCTCTTGTGCGAGAGAAATATTCTGAGAAATAAGAAATACCCCCCCTCCTCCCTCCCCGTTAAAGCAGAACTTGAGGTCGATTCTCAGTTCGTCTTTCGTTGCTCATTCGTGGTCGGCGTCAGATTCTCATCCACTCGAGGGATGATACAGAAGATATTGGGAGGAGCTTTGGGCACAAGTTACTCAGTGGCAAAAATAACTGTTCGTCTGATGTATTACTAACATCAACTACAATTAATGCGAAATCCCCCCTCTGTAGGAGCCACTGGTGAACTGTTTTAAAATAACACCTGACGTATATTTTAATACATATTAGACTCCTTCCTCTTATGTTTTGTCCAAACAAATCCAGTTTTTCTGCTTTTGTGTCCTCTCTGGCCTTATGAAAACTGTCTCTCTCTCCCGTTGTTCAGGGCCAACCTGAGCGACTCGTACTTCACCAACAGGCAGGACCGCTACGTCCTGCTGGAGAACTGCGGCGAGGTCGCAGACTTCTTCTCGGACCTGGTGGACGCCGTGGGAGACGTTTCCCTGCAGCTGCAGCCCGATGACTCGGTCACCATGCTGGACGGCATGGTGCACCCGTACAATGGTAGACCCGTGTGTGTGTGTGTGTGTGTGCACGCGTTCGTGTGTGTGTGTACGCGGACGCATGTTTACTCTCCGTGTTTTGAGACAGTTTGACACTTCATGGTCGGTCACAGTTGCTGGGGCCCAGTTTCTCTGCAGTGGGAGCCGATGGATTTCACTAATGGAGCTTGAAAGCATAGCTAGGCATGCAGGCGGATGTGTAATTGTCAGGATTTTCTCCACATGCACATACACGCGCACACACACACACACACACACACACACACATTGTGGCTGTGTGTCCGTAACAGGAGCGCAGACTGCCAGGATGTCGGCTTGCGGGAGGAATGACATCATGTCTGCAGGGCTGCACCTCACCAGGAATAGAGTTATGATGTCACAGTGTTGCTGGGAGATGACATGGAGTGGGAACTGACACACAACTATACACAATTCTACTGTAAAACATTAATGGGTGCCGATAAACAATGAGATAAAGTTTGATTCAGTCAGCGAGGACACTTTGACCCGCCTCCCACTTGTGCGCGCTGGTGATTCTTATCTCCGCGGCGACCAGGCAACAGGCAGGCGTTCTCCGTGGCGGCGAGGAAGCGGATCATGGAGGTGGTGAACACCGCCCACGTGAGGCAGCAGCTGCTCAACGGGTCGCAGGACTCTGAGGACGACGGGGTGAGCGAGGAGGGGGACGACACCTGGGTGTTCCCTCTGGTCCAGATGAAGCCTCTGGGGATCCAGATCGACGAGCAGGTCACGCAGGTGAGGCTCTGCAGCTCGCGCCACCATCCTGCCTGTTAAGTGATTGTCTGGGAAATGCGTCTTCAAAGCTTTCAAGTTGACCTTTTGTTCACTGCGGTTCAATCGAGGTTCCGTACTCTCATTATGGGATGTTTTGTTCACGCAATAATTACAATAATGGATGACTAATTCCATAATGATGTTCTGGGAATGAACACAGAGTGATCATAATATGATTAACAGCAAATGCTCATTCTGTGGTCCCGTAAAAAAGTAGAATAAACATTTAAGAAGTTAAGAAGGTAGGACCTTTTGTCCCAACAAGTTTGCTTAATTCAATTCATTGTTCACCTCTGGTTGATTTGGTTCAACAGCTGGTGAAGAGGCTTTTGTGGGAGTTTATTTCTAATACTAAACGTATTAGAAATAAACTCTCACAAAAGCGCTTTTTGGACATTTTCCATAAAAAAAGAAAACAAAAAAAAGAAGTGGAGCAGGTTTTCCGCTAGATGTTGTGTCCCTGTGTTCCCCGAAGTTGTTTCCTTCTGGACTAACAAGCTGATGACTGAAGTAGACAACTAACAAGGGTTAATTAACTGCAGAAAATGTCCTGTAATTGGAAAATGAGCAGCTGTTTATGCACCAGCAAAAATACAGGAAACATTTATTGCCAAAATATGTCAGACAGACAAGGAAGCGGTTGGTGCGTGACAGTAGACAGTATAACAATAGACAGCAGGACAGCAGTGCACAAGTAATAAAATAAAATGGAATGCTAATGCAATGGGTTAGTAGAATAATTCAGCGTAGTTGCATTACACATCTAATTCCTGCTGTCGGATTCTAACACTGATGAATTAACTTTAACCTGTTTTTACTTGAATTGTGAATTATAAAAAACTTTTATCATCATAAATGTGACTAATCATCCTGATAGATAAACACTTCTAACCAGCATTTACATCATTTACCAACCACTTTTTATTTTTTCCCCCAATTACAGGAAATAAAACCTCTTTTGTCGTTAAACTCCAGCGCCTGCTGACCGACGCCGGTCCGGACTCGTCCGTGTTTCTAACGTCGGGTTACTTCAACCTGACGCGGCCGTACATGCGAATGGTGCTCGGGGCCGGCGCCATCTACCGCATCCTCACCGCCTCGCCCGAGGTCAACGGCTTCTTCGGGGCCAAGGGCGTCGCCGGCGCCATCCCCGCCGCCTACACCCTCATCGCCAGGCAGTTTTACGGCCAGGTGTGCCGGCAGGGGCAGCAGGAGAGGGTCCACCTGCACGAGTACCACAGATCGCAGTGGACCTTCCACGCCAAAGGTGAGACGAAGCAACAGCAGAAGCCACGGCGACGTCTTCAAGTTGCGTCAGTCAGATCTTAACACACAACAGTCGTATATTTAACACCGTTTTTTAATCAATGATCAACAGAATACAGGTCGAGTGAAGAAAACAGTTCCCAATATTTCCCATCCATAATGGTGCATCCTCAGTCTAGTTCACGTGTAACTACAACCATATGGAACTAATCGCTTCAGTCAGTGTGGATGCAGCCCATCCCTGAAAATGTTTGCGGGTTAAACTGTTAATTCCTCTCACGTCGATGCTTCTGTGGGACATAAGAACATAAGCTCTGGACAACAAAAAAATGTTCCTCGCCCGCAATGTCCCTTCGATTAATAAGAGATGTCTTCGTCTTCTTCTTCTGCTGATGAGTATGACAGTTGGCGTGCGTAGTTGTTGCGTTCCCCGTCCATTCCCGCACCGCCGCGGCACGTTTGTGTCAAATCTACCGACCGCATATGAAAGAGGCTTAAGCTCGTCTTCCAGACTCGAGCCGCTCTGTACGGTGAAAGTAATAAAACGCATGACTCTCCCCGCTCGGCGGCTCCTCTCTGTGTGTCACAGGGGAATCTAGCGTGAGAGGAGACGGCTCGCACAGTCATTTTGTGATTGGCCCCCGGGGTGAGGATGAACACTCACTCCCTCACACGCCCTTGAGGTTTTGGATAGACGGCGGGGATTTCTGCCCGTGCTTTAGTTGTGGTCGGGGGCCTTCCAGTAATCCCCGCTGGAAAAGAGGCTTCTCTCTGTGCAGTTACCTCCTCGCTGGCTCACTCCCCCCCCCTCCCTCTGCAGGTCTGTGGTATTACCTCCAGGGGCAGGATCGGCCCTGCCTCACTCTAATCGGCTCCCCGAACTTCGGTTACCGCTCGGTTCACCGCGACCTGGAGGCTCAGATCGCCATAGTTACGGGGAACGAGGAGCTGCAGGGCCGGCTGCAGGAGGTGAGTTGGGTGGCAGAACCGATGGCGGGGGGGGTGGGGGGGGTATTGCTGCCAGCCGCTGACGCGCCTGCGTGTCGCACTGTGTGCCTCTCAGGAGCAGCAGACTTTGTACCAGCGGTCCAGCGAGGTGTCCGTCGCCACGTTCGAGCGGCCGGACCGCCACGTCAAGCTGTGGGTGAAACTGGTCACTCCGCTCATCAAGAACTTCTTCTGAAGGACGCAACCAGGTGATGATCCGCTCACTTCACATGGCATTATCAGCCGACTCCGCAGTCAAAAGTGAAAAGTTTGAGGGGGCTTTTCCGGCTCTGTGTGTTTTTTTTGGGGGGGGGGGGTTGTCTTACCGCCAAAACGTCGATGTTTTGATTTGGCCCGACCGCTCACATCAACCTCGTTTTCAGGCGCATCTGTTTTCAATGGGAAAATGCCTAAAACCACCTGCTCGGCACCAAGCTGACGGAGTCCATTAGCATCGGTTAGGGAGCGCAGCTGAAAAGCCGAGCGTATCCTGGTGGAGACCAAAACCGAGCCAGAAGAAGAGTTAATAAATAGAAAATTCCACTCATGACTATACATGCTGCTGGTTGCCCGGGCCTCTCTATGCTGACAAGTTTGCAAATTCAAAGAAAAACATGAATAACTTCATCCGTCAATTATAGCTGCTTTAAAAAAAATTTAAAAAAGTTGAGCCAAAGATTTAAAACCCCTAAACTGACAACCTGTAGTGTTGTGTTAAGTAGCGCCAAATGGAAATACTCAAGAATAATTTGATGCACTTATACTTTTATAGAAATGCATTGCTGGTGTAAACGTGGTTTCCACCACTGGGTTCAGAGTTCTCCATCAAGAATACGAATATGACTGGAATTTTCCTTTTTAAGCACGTTTTAGGTTCATGCGTCGTCTCGCTGTTTTTTTGCTTAGTGGACAAAATACAGCCCTGAACATATTGTACAGAAACACGCACACACAGACACGGACACCGGCTGTGGCTTCTTAGAAATGCCTGCAGTCATTGTGGTCCTCGGTCGCGTGCTCGTTTTACCAGCAGCCCGAATCACCCAAAGGTGGAGCGCTGACGTCTGCTGACTTCCTCCCGTCGCCGTGTGAGTCGTCGCCGCGGTGACGGTGCGACCACGTGGTCTGTGCTACCGGGAGTCCGATCAGGACTTGGCTGTGGACGGATCAGAGGGGGTTTCATCACGCCTGACACACACACACACACACTGTTGAAACGGCGGTAAAACGGTGGAAAAAAACACCAAGATATGTTGTTTTTCATTCCTTAAACTAATGGGCTGGACAAAAGGAGACGTCTTAACGTGTGCAGACCAAGATTGCTGTGGTTGTATTTTTTGTTTCTGAGAACAGGAAGTATCACATGCTCGACTCTTACGGTAAATGGGTGTTGTCTTAACTTCACCTGGATAGAGACAAGAGGGGGAGAAGAAAAAAGGAACGTCCGTAACCGATCACCTTTCAGAGCTCCTCCGAGGACACGCAGGCCCTTTGTTGTAAACGTGATGAGACGACCAAGAAGTCCTGGTTGTATTTGCTCGATAAACATCTTGCAAACCTCTGGATGACAGAACAGAAAAATGATGCAGCGACGGAGAGGTTGAAAACACTGTTCCGTATTTTGCTGCTCTGTATTTTTGGTTAAATATGTATATGAAATAAGAACCTGTTATTGTGACTTGTATTTAAGGATTTTTAGGAGGAAGCAGTGGGATTTGGGGTCTTTACATACATTTTTATAAACTTTGAGGAAACTCATTCAAAATACTTTTTTTGTGGTTTATAGTGTAATGTAATCTTGAATATTCTGTATCATTTTAACATCCACAGGATGGATTCTAATCTTTTCAAAACCAGTTGTGGAAAAAACACATCAGGTCTAATTCTTCTTAGTCGGTGAGGTATAGATAAGATTTTGTCTTTGTCAGGCTTTTCAGTTCAATTAAAACAAATGAAACCTTTGAAACAACTGAATAATATAGACACTGTTGTGTTTGATAGAAGGGGAATAACAATTGAAACACTTCTTTTTTTTTTTTTAAATTGTATATGCTTTGTTTGTTCAAATCAAATCAAATCAAATCTGATATCTTGAAAGGACTCTTCTAAGGAAAACAAACAAACTACTGCATGACTGCCTGAATGCAGTCTTTTAGGTTTGCAGAGCAGACCAGTTACTCGTGTTTTATATCTGTATGACATCTGCGCTTACTGCTTATCTCGCTTTAATTTTTGTTCCCGACTAAGGAAGAAAACAAAACAACGCCCTCCCAACAACCACTTTAGCATTCCCGGTCAAAAGTAACAACCTGTGCTGGAGTCTCACCAAACACGTCGCAGCGTCTCGTCTTCTCCCGTCACGTTGAAGCCTTGCGTCGATGGAGCTGGGCGCCCTCTAGTGGCAGGGCTGCCGTTTCCCACTGGGGTCGCGTACCCTGAACTCACCACCGCTGCCTGTTGCGAGCTGAGCGCGCACGTGTTGTTAGATAACCGGTCGGCCTCGAGCATGACGATAAACGCGTGATCAGCGGAGTCGTGTAAGGATTGTGACTGATAAAAGGTCGGTGTAATATGGCTATAGTAGCACGTTATTAAAAGAATAGTGTCATAAAAAAGTCATAGTATAGTACGTCATCCAGAGTACTACGTCATAGCATGTCATCAAATGTCCCTGAAAAGTTAGTAAAATGCATTGTTTCTATGTTTGTGTTTTCAACAGGAAGAAGGATTTTACGTGTTCTTGGGGTTGAAGGTCGAGTTGATGGTGGCTTTTGAACAGGAGGGAGTCTGCAGTGTTCTTGGGGTTGAAGGTCAATCTTCCTCCTGCAGAAGGGAAACGTCCTCTGCTTCAACAGTGGGTCCAGGAAGTGACTCACAACCAAGCAGAGAGGATGGTTTGTTTTGAATTTCGCTCATCTGTTTCAGTCGCAACATCTTCGGTCTTTACACTTGAGTTTTTTTGCTACAAGCGAGCGTTATAAAACTACAGACATTTAAAAAAAACACTTCTACTGCATCACGTGCATCTCCAGGTAGATGCTGCAAATATTCGATTGCATGTGAAGGTAGAGATTGGATTGGTGAAGAATTACGATCCCTTAAGGCCTTACTACGTTTTGTAAGAGTAATCAGTAATCAGAGCCGGCCTGTACAGTGTGTGTTATCTTTGTATATTAAAAGGAGGAGGTGGTGAGTTTTTACAATAACTTCTAATGTGTGAACCTCTTTGTTTGGCGCAAATTTTTGCCCTCAGTCAAATATGTAACAGTCACATAAAAGTGAAGTGATTAGATGGAGCACTGATGGTTATGAGTGATTGAGCGGTGTAGCTGCAGAGTCAAACTAGGTGAGCACTTTCATGTCCGAAGTCTTTATCAATTTGCTTTATCTTCTAAATATCCGTCGCCTAAAATCCTTTAGCAAAGAAAAAAAAAAACAAAAAAAAAAACACGCAAAAGTGGTTCAACATTTTCAAAGCATCTAATTATTTTGCAGTGCTGGTTTGACAAAGCAATGAAGAAAATGTTAAATGTTGGTTTAAAAACTTTTAATGAGACAAAACTCAAACAATAAATTACGAAGAATCTTGATAAATTAAATATTTATGCATCAACAACGCTTGACAAAAAGACCAACAGCAGTAAGAAAACAGGCTTAGAAAAGAGCGTTTTTTTAACTGGGACAATACAACAATGAAGCCCAGTGGTCCGGAGAGGAGATGAATTTTGTTTTCCAGCTGATATCAGCGTTGAAGCTGCAAAAATAGATTCTAAAAGAGGGTAAAGAGAAAAGGTCTACCACCAAATTATTTCCTCTCTAGAGGCGGAAATTCAACTTTAAACGACGGCAAACCTGCAAGAGACCAAGCCGTCGGCACTGGAGGTGCGGCGGCACACAACGTGACTAAAGGAAGAGCTTCTTTAAGCGCTGAATCCTCCGTCGGGTCCAAATGTCACTAAAGCAGAATCAGGTCCATTTCCGTTCAGTCCTCGGCCCGCTCTACAGACCCTTCAGAGACGAGACCTTCTTCTTCCGAGTAGCCAGCATCTCGTAGAACGGGTCTTTGCTGATGGCGGCCCTGCAGGCGGAGGATGGAGGACGGTTAGATACGAGGCCTCATGCAGCTCCTCTGTTGGGGGGCAGGGAGGGTAAAAAGAGGGGCTCACTTGATGCTGTTCATCCACTCATCCTTCTCCTCTGCGGTCGGGGCGGAGATTCTGTAAAAAGTGTGGTTTCCCTCGACGACGCGTCCGTCCGCCTCCGTCTTGCAGGCTTTGATCACCTGATCCTTGTGGTCGGAGATGAAGAGCTCAAAGCAGTTCTGTGAGGGAGCCAGCGAGATTTACAGGAAACAGCAAAACACACATTTAGAGAAAATACATTTCCCAGTGACAGGAATTATATATATTAAAACATTTTTGGGAGAACGGCTGCTTAGTTAAACACTGGGAATGTTTTAAAGAGTAAAACAAGTAATGAGATTTATTTAGTACATCAATGGGTGATATTAAAGACCAAACGGATTTTTTCAGTTTTATGAAAGTATTATATTTATCTATATCTGCCATTTGCATCCCTCTATCAAATGACAAGACATAAATTGTAGAAAGAAAAGGAGTTTACCGGTTTCTTAGAGTCATCAACTTCTCTGATATTCAGATTTTCCAGTGGAATAATTCCTCTGGGTTCTTTGTCCTTAAAAACAGGATAGAGAATAAATCCAAGAACTTACTTGATGCAACATACTTCATCAAATACCTCGGCGCTTTAATAACTTACAGTCGTGTACTCAAAGTAGTAGAGGCAGTTATCTGTGAGAATAAACCAGCGTCTTTTCCAAGTCTTAACTCGTCCACCTGAGGAGAGAGGTGAGCTGCGACTTTAGTGATTGAAGTAGCTGCAGCAGGAAACGTCATTCGACAACAGCGACACTGAAGCACATCGACAAAAGCTGAGGTTCAAACGGGGGTCAGTTGCCAGCAGTTAGAAAAACTACATTAATCCTTCCACATTAGGTCTGAGCAGCATACAGCGCAGAAGTAATCAGTCTTTAATCCAAATCAGATTGTGACCCGGGGGGGGGGGGCAATGCGGACAGCCAGTGGGAGGAGAAAGGCAGGGAGGGGGGAGCAGTTCAGAAGCAAAGCGGTGCATTAAAGCTGCAGAGTTGGTTGGGTACGTACCTCCTGGAGTCATAACCCATGAAACACAAAACAAACAAGAACAATGTCAACGAAAGTATTTAACAAAAACTCAACGGTTGGTCCTGGACGGTCCCATGTTGTAGGTGCCGTTACACATGAAGGCCACTAGAGGGCCGTCCAGCTCTCAGGGACCAACATCAGGATCCAGCTGAAGCACTTTGATAAAATGGTGCTCGGACAACTTTTTTTTTTTGTATTTTTAACAACAAACCTGGACGTTTTCTATGCATCCAATTTGCTTCAAGCGGTGTGAGTGAGCACCCACCTCACGTCTGTGGATGAATTGTCATTTTGGCACAGTAGCCATTTCTCTCCCAACAGGGATGCACATACCGAGTTTCAGTAGCCATCCTTCTCTGTCGGGGTTGAAGAAGGTGTGTGTGAGGTCGTTCCCATCATCCTCTGGGATCTTGAAGGGTTCATTCTTGATGCTGTCGTACAGGTTCTACACACGGGGGGGGTGGAGACGATGAGCGCCAATGGAAAGCGACAGAACATTTAAAGGTGTTTCCTTGAGTGGTTTTATCATATTAAATGGTATGTAACCTTTTCACCCTGCTTTATTAATACAAAATATAATCAGTTAATATTGATGTGTTTTTATGGCTCAAGTGTTTCAGTACACAGTCACAGTACTTCCTCATGCAACCTTACACACATTTAGTTCATTAATACTTTGCTATTTGAATACAGTTCCTAAATAAAACATACAGACCTTTATCTGTTAAATGATAAATTGTTCCTTTCACTACTCAACCTGATTTAGACATTTTATTCACCAGAACATCCACTGGAAACATAGTGGCACAGTGCTTTTGTCTGCACAACGACGAGTACGCTTGGAGGGAGAAAGGCTTTAGTAAAACAAACCCACTCGGAGCAGCTCCTCCGGTAGGTCTCCCCCGTCGTTGATGCCTCTGTTCATTGCTGTGAACCTCTGAACGGAGGGTTTGTCCTTCACGTTGGGGTTGTGTAGGGACGTGTTCAACATGATCACGGCGAACGACAACACATAGCAGGTATCTGTAAAAGGAGACAATGAGCGTGTACACGTCTTCAGGGCTCAGCTTTTAATAACTGCATGATTGTCAGACTTCATCATTTGGAATTTTGATATGATAAACTACGTGAAAGAAGGCAACAAAAGACAAATGTGCGACCACTACGAAATAAACATTTTGGACATACCGGCATTGAGAGAGTCTGATGTGTTTTTATGATTAAGTCTGAACATTTCATAAAGTATGTGGTCAGAATGCAAACTATGTGAACCTCCCTCTTGTGATCAGGCGTACCTGTGCTCTGAAACACGCCGGGGTTACAGCGACAGTATCGCCGGGCGAACGCCTCCATCATGCGGTCGATCTTCTGAGCCTCGCCGGGCAGCCGAAAGCTCCACAGGAACTGCCTGAGAGCCTGAACCAGGTTCAAGTCTGTGAACTCGTGCAACTCCAGGAAGGCATGCAGAACCTGGATGTTGAAGTCGTCTCTGCACAACACGCACACAATGCCACACAAGGACACACACGTGGAGTAAACAAAAAGACGACACGATCAAGAACTGAACGCAGTTGGATGAGATGTATCAAATGACATGAAAACACATTAAAGGATCATATTTTAGATGAGAGCTGCCCACCCTTTGGACACAGAACATATATATGGGAATTATTACAGGTCGTCATTCGTCAGAAGAAATGTCTCTGGAAAAGCACGGGTGTGAATAATGAACAATGGCTGATTTCCACTAACTTGCTTCAGGTTCAAGGTGATGTTTTACTGGGACACTTTAACGTGTGCAGCAGGGACAATCAGCATCATACTCAATTCCTCAACTAAAAGATGATGCAGAAAGTAATGTATCAAAAAATTGTTTTGTTCAGGAAGATCATTTCATAAATGAACAGCAGTTTCAGGATTTCTATTTTAAGCATGCACACAATCACAAGTAAAAAGCCAATGTACACTATGAACAATGTTCTTCATGGGCTACAGGAGGAATAATTCTGAACACCTGTGCTTTTCCAGCTCTGACAGATGTAAAAAGTCTGCCGATTAAGGGAGACTGTCACTCGTATCACTTACCTCTCTCCTAAGTAGTCGCCGATTGCGGTTTTGTTAAGCCCCTCCCCCTTGTAGAGAAACTGGCCGATGTCGTTGCTGGTATTTTTCAGCAGCGAGCTGTCGATCAGGAAGCGAATCCCCTGAAAAGTCAGAACAACTCGATCTGAATAGCATTCAATAAAATGACAAATAAACCAAATATTAATTTTTTTTCAAGGAGTACAATGGAAATCAGTGTAAGTGAGAAATAATCACAGCATTCGTCAACAAGGAAGCATTAGTTAGTTGCATCCTCACACTCATCTGCTGCGTTTGTTCTCACCTTCTTGGGGTCCATGTTAAACTTCTTTCGGCCCATGGCCATCTGTTTGTTCCTCTGCATGCTTTTCCTAAAACCAACACAAACTTAATCAACGGCTCTGCAAAATAGGCTCAAATTTGTATCTGACTGACCACTTAAGTTATTAATCAAGAGAAAATGACATTCGCTAGTTTCAGCTTCAGTCCTCTTCGGCTGAAAACGTCGCGATGTGAATGCAGTGGAGAGCTCCCAGAATAGCCAGGTCAGTGGACCTTGTGTTGGGAATATTTATGACTTAATATCTTTTCTTCTGAACTGTTGGTGAGACTAAATAAGGTTAAGATTATCAGGCTGATTTTCCTATTGGATTTTATTATTCTGGACTCTGTTATGAGTGTAAAGCATATTTTTCCGTCCCTCCCCACGGATGCACTTAAAACTAAGGCTGAGTGCACCACAGCCGCCCACACACAAACTGGTTGAGAGACACTTTACCTCTCTTCAGTCAGGCCCAGGCTTTCAATCTCATTGGTCACCTCTGCGATATCATCCTTCAGCCTCTGACAGCAGACAGAGAGAGAGGGAGAGAGAAGGATGAATGAATAATCAGAAAACAATGATACATACATGCGATATGTGTGCGGCGTTCGACCCTTCACATAAACCTTCCGGAGGTACTTTGGCTCACGGCACGAAATGCTTTTCACATGGTTGTCTGTTGCAGCTACATCTCACTGACCCACACACCCAGAGGGGCAGCGATGACCTAGAAAAAGGCCAAAGGTCCAGACAGGATTCACTCGCTCACAGACAGACTCATTCTTCCTCTCGGCAGGAGTTTTGTGGAACAGCCGTCCTCATCAGAAGACCCTCTCTGGGAGCTGTAGCACCTGTTCTGGGGTCAGAGACGACCACCCTTCCCCTGTTTCCGTCTCCCAGCTCCTCCTCTCCCCTGTGCTGACCCAGATTCATCAGACGGTTTCTCCCTCTCTCCCCCACCCGACGGCCTCCCCGGGCTACTTGAGTGTCACTGGTGGGGAGACGGGAATATGCCGGATCAAAGACAGACTGGCATAGAGGAGCTGCGCTGCAAAGCTCAGAGGTTATGGGAGAGAAAAAAGGAGCGGTGAGCAACAGATGGAGAAACACTGAGCCCAGCAGAAGGTAATGAATTGAGATAAATATAGAAAATGAGAAAAGCAGACACGCCGGTTCCTCGGATTAGAGCCACAACCCTCTGCAGCTCTCCCTGTTTCTGCGTGTGTAGTATGGAACCTTTGTTAAAACCAGGAGAACAAAGTAAATAACTTAACTTAACCGGATCCCTACATGTGCGTTTCTATGGTAACACCCCCATATCAAACAGACATCCTCCTCGGTCTCCATTAGTGGAATGTTTCATGGGTCACCAAACGAGAGACGACCTCTATAATAAACGCCATCTATCCAGTGGCACAGCGTCGCGGCCCTGAGGCGGTGTTTTTGTGCGTGCATGTTTTGCACACTCCATTTGCTCACTGAACAATTGGGATGGAGTCTGATAACATTTTCCTTTATTGAAACTTTGGGTTTTTTGTAGGGAATGAAGAAAAGCATATATTTTATATATAAGTTATCGTCTTTGTTTCCCCTCAGTGTCAAAACTAAAACACCATTCTTTTGTGTTGAAACGGTGGAGGGCTTTCACCACATACATAAAACAATTGACAAGCTTGAGAAAGACTCATCAGTAACATACATACGACGGGTAAAAGCTTTTAATAGACTCTTTGTTTTAGCTTTTAGAAATGATTTTAGACTTAATCTGTGTTCTAGAAGATAATCCCAACTATTCAATCTAGTCTAGCAAAACATATTTGTCCTGATAAAGACCTGACACAGATCATCTCGCTAATTTATTTATTAAAAGAGTAACTGAGGCGGAGTGGGCAAACTGTCCCTCAAGGCAGAGAGAGACCTGGAGGACATCGATACACGTGTACACAAGGTGCACCCCCCTCGTACAGATGCACACCACACAGAGAGGATCATCTCTCTTAAACGCATACAGTAACGCTCCAGTGCTCATATCCCTGTATACACCCCCCCAGCACACACACACAAAGGAGGTACAAACCTACTCATGGACACAAAGAAGAACGGACTACCTTAACATGTTGAGACAAAGAGGTTGAAATTGCAAAGCAAACAATGCTTTGTGTGATTTTCTCAACAAACAATTAGGATTTTTCAAACTTTGAAGTTTGCCTCAAAACAATAGATCACAGTCCTCGTTCTGTGCCGAAATGTATTAAAACCTTTGACTGAAGTTGAAATTGGACAAATCAAGTGGATATCGTCCAGAATGAGTTATTGTTTTGGTACAAGATTCCCTGTTCTTTCGCCTCCACTGCAGCTCAACAGAGACACAGTCACTTCGGACAACGCCCATTTGAATTGTCGGACTCATATTAACGTCAGATAAATTACTTCAATTGTAGCATCTGTGAGCTCTTAAGAACAAAAAAATAATTGTTAAAGTTTCGCAACGGTTTGGACAGCCGCAGGGTTTCTCAGCAGGGATGAAAACAAACTTCCCTTTCAAGGCTTTTCTGTCCAAGCAGCGCTAACTGAGGTCAGAAAAACAGAAACACAGCCACGGAGATGAACAAACTGAACAAATAAATTAAAGGTGTAAGGGAGCGGAGAGTCTGTTATTACTTGTATGTCGTGCAGCAGCTCTTGTTTTCTGCGGCGGATGCTTTCCAGCTCGTGTCTCTCCTCTGGACTGAGGTCATCAGGCACTGAGGAGAGAAAGACATATAGCACTCAAATACAACAGGCTGGACCTACACGAGTCCCACTGCTCTGGGTCACTATGGCAACACAATCTCTGATTCTTCAGTGGAGAATGAAATCAAGCCCCTTCATCTTATACAGATGCACACAGAGACAGATGATCATAATCTAAACAAAGATACTGTCACTCTGTCTTCTCCTATCAGACCGCTTTGTATTGTGAAGCCCAAAGATAAATAATTGGGTAAAAATCCAAAAGCTTTTCAGTTCTTAAGCAACATTTTGAGATACTATATAGCTGAAATTAAACTGATAGTGATGTTAGAAAGCTTAGAAACCAAGGACTAACACTACAGGACATTTTCTGTACCAAACAGGTCCGTAGCACAGGGTGCAACTTAAACACTGTTTAGCAAACATACTATAAACAGAAGAAACATCAATAGAAAATGGTCAAATTAGGCTTGATATCTTTATCTGTTAAATTCAAATGTCTGTGCCACCTCATAGTTAATACACACCCTTAACTCTACACAAACAAGTGTCCCCTCTGATAGAGCTTAAGCTCCTGTCCCCGCGGACAAGCATGATATCTGTAGACTAACGATAAGGTTTTTCTTGAAAAAAAAAAAAAAAAAAAAGAAAGTAAAAAGTAACATTGCATTCCAGTCAGAACGAGGTGAGTTATTGGGCTGTAGGTTTCACACATCACGTCTCTCTACTGTTCCTCTCCACTGGGCCCCTGCTTATACTTTCTAAAGGGCTCCAACTAGTGAAAGAGGTAAAGCAAGAGGTACAAATTATGCAGAGTAACAATGAGCCGGTCAGGACGTGTGACGCTGTGCTGCTTCGTTACACGAGTCACGCTGAGAGATTCAAGTACACTGTTCATCAGCCTTTGCCTCCACGAGCAGGATACTCAGGAGGAATAGCCCCCTTTATTCAATATCTAGAACATTTTTTTATTATTTTAGTAATAATTCTTAAATAATATATTAATATAGTTTTATTGGCCTTCAATTTGTAACCATAAAGTGCAATAAACAACAAAAGTCTGTTTAACCAAATGGACATTTGAGGCACAGAATTACCCCATTATATAATTTAGGCACTTGAAAAATAATCCTCGCTCAAGGTCACCTTAGGTCAACATACTTATCGCAGCCTATTTCCTTATTAATCAACTAACAATCATTTAGCCTAAAGAATACAAGAAAATGTTTATTTTCCAGAGAAGAAAACCCCAAACTTTGTTCAAGCTTTAACTGATAAGATTGTTGCGTGTAAATAACAATAACAATCCGAACTAGTAAAGATGACCACAGGTTTCAGTTAGAGTACAAATGATCATTTTATAGGTCATTTCTAATCCTTCAAATTCCAGTCAGGCAGACAGACGCCACTGTGCTCAAGGCAAATGAAGTAGTCCTGAAGTCCGCGCTGGCTTGACAGGCGCCACAGCCTTGGTTAGTAATATTATTTACATACACAACACACAGCCAGTGACGCACTCGCTCGTCGCCCACTTCAAGTGGACCGGAACGGCTCTTATTTTAACCCGAGGACGAGAACGACGCAGCATGGTGAGCAGAGAGGCAGTGAAACTGACAGTTACACTCACTTCCTCTCTATTGCTTTGAATTTAAAGACAGCGCCATGGCTTTCGTCCTCCTCTCTCGCAAACACACACACACACACATTCCAACGTAAATAACAACATGCGCCTTCAACCAGCTGCTCTGCATAGTTTGGAGGTCGCCGGGTATCCGTTTGTGTTGGCAAGTAATGGGACACCTTGCCGTAGCAATGCTGCTGATGACCAACTGTTATGGCCAGACAACAAGTCCAGGATAAGCTATTGTTTAAAAGTTACGTAACCCATTACATCCTCTGAAGACACAATGACGTGAACAAAAATAAAACCCACGCATGTGCTCAGTCTGGGTTTTTCCGTGACAACAACAAACGCGTAAACAAACTTACTCAAATACGTTTCTTCGCGATAGCTTTGGTGGAGAAGTTATGATGGCGCACCAAACACCTCCACATTTCTGGTCCCAGTGGTCCCAGTACTCCCAGTGCAGCTAAAAATAAGGTTTGATTCTTGATTCCAGTTTCTATAAAGCTTACAGGTTTAACAGAGTCCCTAGTCCCAGCACAAAACAGCCTGGGCACATTGTAGGCAGCATCCAGTCCAATCTTGTATCTCCAAAAATAATCCTGTCCTGCCTGAGCCTTCCAATGCTCCAATCCGAATCCGGTGGTCCTTAATCCTCAGGGCCTCATTCCAGCAGAGGGGAATGGAGGAGAGCTGGCCCGCAGCTAAATGAAGATGAGGACAAGTGTGTGTGTGTGTGTGTGTGTGTGAGAGAGGGGGGGAAACCCTTGAACTCGCATCTCTCTCCCCCCAACCTCCCTCTATCCACCTCGACTCCTCCCTCAGTGAGCTCAGTATCAAAAACGGGCTCCCCCACGTGGACACTAGTGTCCCGGAGAGACCGAGGGCAGGAAGCCACAGATCGACATGACTCATATCTCATGGTTGCTAAAGCACTAAAAAGAGTTCTGTGTTCCTGTGGAAATTAAATAGTGAATTATCTTTTGCTTATCACAAGTGGTTGCTCGTGGAAAACCTCACACAACCGCAACAACGGCCCCTTCATTTGGCTCGTCTCATTGTTTCACCCACAGGACTGCCGCCGAGCTGACCCGGGACCCGAGGCTAAACAGTTTTGTGTAGAGAACGACCCGTTTTGAGATGGGAGTGCTTCAGCGTCTTCAGTTCACACAAACAGAAATGTCCATTATCAGCATTCACAAAGCGGTAATTGTGCGTCTCAATGTTTCCTGGCCCCGAGGATAACCAGCTCAACTCAGCACGCTATAATCCTGTGGTTATGGTAACCACATGGTAACCCTGGTGATCAACTGCATTGCCGGAGGAGGAAGGAACGAAATACAAGCGTCAGAGAAGAAACTGTGGCTTGACACAGAAAAGGAATCAAACAACGTTATGAATGACAGTGAGAGGAAGTGATGCAAATGCTGTTAACTTAAACTGCTCTGGCAGGGTCCTGTTGTCTTTTAAAGTGAAGTATACGTCAGGTGAGCAAAACCTAAGATGGACTACAAGTGTTATAATGCTTCAACACAAAGTACCTTGCGATCTGTCAAGTGGAAACCCGTTATGAAAAGCTTCCTGTACCCGGTGGAAGTGCTGATATTTAGACAGTAGCTTCCTCACTGGAACAACTTATGTAATAAGAAGTTCATTTTGATTGTCTTTCCCCTCCCTGAAAGATAAATCCTCTTGATTAAAATCCCATTTAGTAATCTGTTGACAGGTTTTCCCCAGATGATGGAATAAGACCATAAAAACCATAAAATACCTCCTGTTAGAGTGGCTCAAACTACCCGAGCAAACACTACAGCAGCTGCAAGGAAACAGATTTCTAATCCTAGGTATGTTCTTTTTGCAGTCGCCCCTCATTACTCTGCCAGTTTGTGGAAAACAAGTTGAGCAAAACGAGCAGAGAAGTGCCTGTAGCCACTAGTTTCCAAACGATAAATGGCTGCATTGATTGTATTTATAGACACATGAACTATAAAGTCCCCCCCATGAGCTCTGGCCTCAACCGGACTAATAACGGATCCCTTGTGCCAGTTCATCAAGACTGTCAAAGAGCATTCACGACTCAGCCAGATGACGACCTGTTGATGGGGAACTGGAATGCTAAAACATATTAGGGTTACACTAGCAGGCATTTGGGCAATACGTGGCGTTACGCGGGCACTTCAACAACACCGCGTTAGATCATGTTAGCGTTAAATTAGCTAACGTTAGTTGGCTAAACTGGTTAGCTTGTAGATTAGCTAAGTAGCGTAACATTGACGAAAGCAGGTCAGGAAAACTTACCGACTCCGTCTTCCGACTTCAAAACCATATCTGGGATGTTTGTCAACGCTTGGTGTAAAGAACAGCGCCAAACGTTTCACCTTAAAGCAGCTTTATGGCTCGAAATGAGTCTGTATGTCGTCACTCAGATACCGTTAGACTGGCAGTTAATGACAACTGTGGAGAGACAGCCGGCGTTGGGACAGGGTGACGTAGGCGGGGCTTCAACGGTAGTAGCCAATCAGAGAGCGCAGAGGCACAAACCGACTTCTCGTGACCCATCCAGCCATCCATCCATATATTTATTTGTATATTTATCCATCCATATATTCATTTATCCATCTTTTCATCCATCCATCCATCCATCTACCCATCTATTCATCCTTCCATCTACCCATTTATCCATCTATCCAACAATTCATCCATCCATTCATCTATCTGTAAACACGATTGTGATTGGTCGAAACTATAACAGCAAGTAATTGAATTAGTCAAATTCATGAAATATTCATTACAGTGAAGAGATGGGACGTGTGAGGCAAATAAAGATAGTATTGATTTGTTACATTTGTAATGATGATGGTTTGAACCGATAATAGCTCATCATTGACTCAGTAAGCTGCCGTTAACATTTATTATTTAAGAGCCATCATTTTATAATTGTGGAGTAACAACTTGTCTTGTTATTCTGATTAAGTGTTTTAGAGCTTCAGAGCTTGTCGTGCCTTAGATTTCACCTATTTGTATTCTGTGATAGAAGTGGTTTCCTTTTCCTATGTATATAGATATGGATGAATGAAAACGTGTTTGCATGCTGAAATGTGTGTGTGTGTTTATGTATGTGTGTGTATATGGGTGTGGCTGCGTCATCCTAACAGTGGATTGAATGTCTTTCTGCCTGAGGAGTGTAAATGCACCACATTATTCAAGTTGTAGCACTCCACCCTCTACTGTATAAAGTAGTGAAAGGAATTAATTTAAAAGCAGGAAGAAGAAACATGATTCAACAAGTAACAAAGAAAATAAGTCCGCATGAGCATCCTCCCGCCGGCTGAAGACAACAGACTTATAGACTAAATGACGAAAATTGATATCAGATGATCGGTGCCTTGTGTAGAAGGGGAAGAGGAAGGGAGAAGAGAGGATGTAGGGAAGGATAGAGGAAAGCATTGCAGCTGTGCGCTTGAATCAGTGCTTTATTCAGTGTTTGGCCCCACCAAAAACAGGATATGCTGACCACGGTCAGGGAAGAAGAACTGCAGCAAACGAGTACTTTAAAGGCTCAAATAGATACAACAGACATTGATTTGCTTTGGTAGTTCAAATGACGACAATTGACTCCGATGTCCTTGTGTACAACCACTGTTTCAATGACTGTCACTACAGCAAAAATGGAAAAGATTAAAGAAAGAACATTTAGAAAATAAATGTCAGTCATTATAATATTTTTATAATATTTAATATTTTTCAATGGAAGCTATACACTGTGTTCAGTAGATCCACTTCACAGCTTCAGGGTTTACGTGTAAACTCATCACACGTTGCAGAGGCCTTGAGGAGCAGCAGCAGGAAATGACAATAAATAGAAGGGGAAGTCCAGCTACGCAGAGTTCACCTGCTTTGGTGAGCGTGTGGAAATAACCCGTAGGATCATCAGTTTGCTTCTGAGCGGGCGCGTTGATACAGAACGAAAAGCACCTGCACAGAGGGAGAGCGGCGTGGGCAGCCATGGAGATTATGTCACTCCAGCACCCACTGGAGAACAAGGATTCTGGACGAGATGACGGCTGTGCGTCATGTTCTCAAACCAAGCCCACCATCACAAACTGACACACACGGTTTGTCCAACTCGTGTGTAGGTGCACACAAATATTTAGTGAAACACAAGATCTAAGCACTCATACAGAGCACTCTGTTTCTTGATAACCCGTAACAGAAAATCACCACGGCAACTGAACGCCGTAGCACTTTGTGCCCGACTCAGTCTGCATGTTGGTCTGTTATTTTCCGAGCTTTCAAGAGTCCAAGAGGAGCAACGTCTCACCAGCAAAGACGTGTGCTTTCAAACTCAGAGAATGTAAGAAATTCATAAGAGAATGCATCTCAAGGTTTTTATATTCATTCCCTCGGAGACAACCGGGTAACACATTCTGTACTTTTCTCAGAGAACAGAAAAGGCGTGTTGAAAACACTCACCTGTGGCTGGAGCAGGCGCTCCCGGTCGCACCGTGGGACAGAGAAACGCCTGGAAACTGGAGGCACACAGCTCGCTCACGGTCCCCATCACAACACGGCGCGCAGTCAGGTGTTTGAGACAAAAAACCGTGTGTGAGGGATCACGCTATCTCCTCAGCATCTCCTCAGCATCTCCGGGCTTTACCCCCCCTCCCCTCCCCCGAAGTCGGCATCATACTTGACTGAAAGGCTCAGGCCTCAATCGGTCTTTTAGCGTTTTCCCACCCGACTGCCACCGGAACCTGACAGACTCTGAGAAAAAACCCAGTGTCCCCCTTCTCTCTCTCTCTCTCTCTCTCTCTCCCTCTCTCTCTCCCTCTCTCTCTCCCTCCCTCTCGCTCCATCCTCCCTCGTCCCTCTTGTTCACACACTTGACCTCTCTCCCCCTAACACATGTGATAATGTCGCCGACACTCCTCATTGAAAAAGACACATGTACACAGTGTTTAAATAGACACACACACACACACACACGCAGTTGTCAATGTATTCTTGGGAGAGGTGACAAATGTACATCCGTGCACTTTCCCGCTGTCAAACAGCCTGACTCACACACTGGTCAGAGGCGAGCAGACACACTCAGACGCATTCACATGCCGTATCTTGCATTTCACCTAAGGAAGATGTAATATTACTCTTTATTTAAATGAATGATAGTGTGAAAATACGTCTTTCCTATTTATACAAAAAGGTACTTTCACTTTTGTATGATGCATACATTCTTTTATTTCTATGTCTATTTTATGAAATGCAAGTTGTGGGATTTACAACAACTTTTATTTTATGGACAGATTAGTTGCAATAAAATGACCGACCATCTATCTATTTATCTGTATGTCTCTTTTTCTGCCAAATGAACGTGGTAGCATAAAGTATGGCAGAAGTAACAGTATATAAGAGAAAAGTGCTACCGAGGTCTACGCATCGCAACCTAATGATTACTTTCATTGTGGTGTGAGAAAAAGCAGCATTATTCATATACTTACGTTTATTATTTAGGTAACAGTATTGGCAGTAGAAACACAAATAAAGAATGAAAGGGTTTCCAGCCAGCATTTACACTGCCCCTTTATATTCACCTTTATATATTAATATGTGATATATATCAGCTCTAGTTATTCATTTTTGCCATTAGAATCAGTTGGTTTTGAGTTATATCATCAACCTTCAAGGCTGCTGTTTAAGTTTGATTCTTCACTTTTGACGTGCAGAACACATCTATTTTCTCCATAGCTGCACAATCTGTCTGCATCACATTTATTTCTGCCACTCATTAAATCTATTTGAGTCTTTGATTATCTAATTTCTCTCCCCTTCTCTGTAGAGCTGACCTCTTTCTGTTGACCTCACACTCATCCTGAATTTCTTCTCTGTTCAACTTTGACAGCATGGTGTGACTTTGCAAGATTCAAGACTCTTGACTTTTTTATTTATTTATTATTGGAATTCATTACGAACATACACCAACTTTGATTTTGTCAGTGTGTATACAATTTACATAATGAAAGGGAAGAAAATAGAAGTGGTGTCTTACGTCTTACTGTCTGTCAGGATGTCAAAACCTCATCACAGGATTCAAAACCTTCCTCGCTTCAACATGCTTGCTTACGAGAGGAGTCTACTGATGGAGGAATAGAAAACGAAACGTAGCACCACCATGCCCAATCTTCTCTCTCAGAACAGCTCTCATTACTTAAATGCGTTGCCATGACAACCACAAAGAAAAAGACCAGCATGTAAGAGGAGAAGAAGTAGTGTAATCTCCATCTTTCCTGCCCATGTGAAGAACAGAGTACCACTCACCTCATTGCTCAAAGGCTCACTGGGGCTGTTTTTTGTTTGCTGTTTCCTTGGATATGTGTTGTATATACATTTGATTCATATATAAACATTACCATTCGATAGAGGCTATTGTTCTTGATAGCTCAAAGCTAATTTCCTGTGGAAAAAAAAGAACAAACAAAACAGCTGGCTCTAATTTATGTCTTTCGAGTAGCTTTTTTCATGACACTTTTAGACCTAATATTTATAGACTTTTGTATTTATTTAAATTTTTTAAATTATTTATTCATTATACTCTTCTGTATTTGAGCTTTAATGAAAAGAAAGGCCGTGTTCTGAAACAGAGCTACATAAATCACAGTGGTAGAAGTAACATTGACTTGTTGAGCTCCTTAGTGGAGCATGAAGAGGCTGTTGGGTCCTCTGGTGGCCACCGGGTGGCATCACAAGTGCAAGCAATAATGTTTGTGTAAAATTATTGTTTTTTATCAGGTAACTGCAGCTTTTGCAAACCTAATTCATGCATAGATTATTTGATTTCATCAGTTAAATTAATATCTGAATACCAAAAATGATCATTCTCCCTCACCTATCCTAAATGTGGTAAAATAGGTAACAGGAAATGTACATCTCAAGTGGCCTACAAGTATCTTTAAGCCACCACGGCCAAGATGCATAATACTCACAATACATCAGATAAAACAATGATTAAAAAGCAATATGCATTTTTGCAGAGTTACTCAACAGTGTTTCAAACAATAAGGGGAAGGTACAGTGTCGACTTAAGGGAAGTGACAGTCATGTAAACAACCCGCACCAGTCCACTTTATAATATACATATATTTCAACTCACGCCTTCCCTCTGGCACACGGACATCTGCGTTTGGGGAGAAGTGAAATCCGTCTAATACTGGATGATTATTAAAACCCTGTTTGCCATTCTTGAGGAGAGAATGAACACAGATGACAAAAACGCCCGGTCTGGGCTCTGACTGCACATTTCTCAAATACTTTCCTTGTGGAGTCAATTACCACATCTTTTTGACTATTTCAATGCCCTTCTCCAAGCACAAGCTCTTCACTCCAAAATACGTCTCTCACAAACCGCATTGGGAAATTAAATAAAGGCCAAGTTTGACTGCTTTAAATAAATTTAAATACCAACATTAAAATCTTTGGAGGTTCATCTTAGAATTCCATGGGTAGACTTTTAGAAAGTGATCCACTGGTTCTACGGATGGAGGCAATACAATTTGGTTCAGACATTTCAAGATGAACTTTAGTGATCTTCACCTTCCTTCCTGACATCTTACATGGGTACATCATTTTTTTGTCCCTCCCAGTCTTTCGTCTTGGTCTTAGGTAAGCGGAACTGCAATCCAGAGGTTACAGCAACAATTTACCAACATTTCCAGTTCAGGTGTTGCTCAACTGGTAGCAGTTGAGTTCACCACACCATTTTTCTAAGTAACTGATTTCATAATTCAATCAGTCTTATCTGATGCTAAAGACTTACTATTTGTATGTTTTTTTCTTTTCTTTTCATTGACGCTTTGGGAATCCATCCGGCATCACTTGACCAAGACAACATCAGCAAACACCCAATAAAGACTCACACAGGCAGTTCTTTTTAAAACGTGTGGTTTTTATTTGATAATACTGAATATTTTTGTCCTTCGCCCGGACTTACACAAAGCATCAAACACATGCACAGTCTTCTATTCACACAAGGTAACCGTTTCTCATTTCTCTACACCTTTCCAAAAAGGTGTAATCTCTCTCACTCTCGCGTTACTCCAGCGCAAGAGGACCTTCTCAGCTCGACACTACAGCTAAAGACATTGTAGACAGAGACAGCAAAAACAAACCAATTATTACAGGTATAATGATAACACTGCAAAAAATAAAATGGAAAATGAAAAGTTTACTTTTAAATTATGCCTCTAATACTCCATCATATATATATTTTTTGTAAATGTAGCTTGAGGTGTATAAAACAGCACTGTAAACTTGGATTGGGTAACTTTTTTTAGCTTACTTTCTATGATGGCGATAAAGCTTTAATTAATAACTTGAAGGAGCAGTCAAAGCTAATATTAAGCATGTAAAAGACCTTGTTACTCATGAAATGAATCGTCTGCGAGAATATACTGGCCAATCCTGAAGCTGCTGTTGGCATTTACAATCAACAGATAATACAAAGACACTGAAATAACATCCAACAAAGCTCTTTTTTGTTTCTCTTTCACACGTAACATCTGTAAAAAGATTCCTTATATCTAAACTTCTCACACGCCACTTTATTTTGTTTTTCTTCCATTGCAGGTACTATTCTATCTGTTATGACAAAGATAGCAAGAATAAGTCTGAGAATATGAGTCACCAAAAGCACAAAGTAGGCAAAATCTGTCGGTCTCGGCGAACTACAACTGTCACATCAGAGTGTTCAGGCTCCTTTCTTTACTGGAACTCATCCTCAAAAAGTGCAAATCTAGTTCTAATGCAGCAAAAGATAATCATCAAGTAACAACAAAAGTATATGCATGGGTACTGTACAGCTACATAGTGGGGATGACAATGATGAGGAAGGTTGGATTTGGGATATTTCTGATCGGACTGCGGGGTCGGCGAGGACGCCTTTGACCTCGTGAGCAGGTTTTAATTTAGAGCGCTCGTCTTCACGCCGCATAGACTGGTCCAGTGGGGCCTGTGACCGTCACAGGCTTCAGTAAAAAAAATAAAAAAAGACATCACAGCGAGAAAAGATTTTCATCCAAAGAAACCAGAGAAGAGATAAGCCGTGCGAGATGACTCATGTTGTTTTTTACAGAAAACAGTTAATTATTATGTGTTGGGCCAAACAGTTCCCAGCAGAGAAGAAGACAGACCGGTAAACTGATATTCAGAGAGCGAGACAATCATTTGAAAAAAAGGCAACTTGGAATTTGGCTTTGGAATAAAATGGAGAATGAGGTAATAAGAGTAGGAACACGATGGGTAACGAATGATCGTCAGCCGATCGGGGATTGATTGGTGGAGTTGGAGAGCGGAGCGGTTAAAGCGCTTCGCGGGGCAGGAAGTGCTCCGTCTCCCCGAGAATTTGATCTCCTCCTGACGCCAGCCTCAGGAGGAAGTGACATCATCACTCGACCAGTCTATGTCTCATGATGCCGTGTCTACAGGCAGGCCGCGTCTGAGAACAACCTCCGAGCCCCTTCAAGTAAAGCTGAGCAAGCTGACGGACTAATACGAAGAGAGGCTGAAGGTTGTTTCCAGACCGGCAGGTAACTTCACTCACATTACCTTTTATTTTCTTAAAATAAAAAAGCACTTTGCACGATGTTGCTATCTATAATTTCAATGGAATCGTTTACATTTGTTTCCCCCGGGCCAGGCTGCGCAGTGGGCAGGCAGGGCGGCCGCGTGACTAAGGGTTGTCGGTGTCCAGGAACTCCTTCTTGGGCGACGCGATTCCGCGGTACCAGGAGCAGGAGCCGTCCGACCGCTTGACGCAGGCGTAGTGGTTGGCTTGGCGCCCGTGCACCTGCTTCTCGATCATCAGGTCCGTCCACAGGCACTCCTCGGGAGCCGAGATCTCGCAGGGCAAAGTGGGACAGCGCACAATCTGCAGAGACACGCGGGACAACATTTCCACGCCGTGAGCTTAAACCGCTGTGTGTTTCGGGTGACTAGTAGTCCCTTTGAGTTACTGATGCTGGATAAGACAATGGGCCCCTTTGGCATGTTTACATTTATTCAAATGAGAACTGAAACAAGAGGGAGGAGCAAGAGGTACGGTTGTGTTTCTGACAAAAAAGGCCTGAAATCTTAAGTATCGTAAGTTAAGAAAATGGGCTTCAGTGGGAATTATCCTATAAAACACCCTTTTTCCATTTTGTCAGAAGATAACTTTGTCTCATAAACCCGTTTTAAGAAACAGGCGTACTCACTCTCTTGCTGAGAGTGATCTCTTGGATCTTACCTTGCATTCGCAGCCCATCTCGTAGCGCTGGCTCAGGCCCTTCTTCTGGGTGTTGCTCAAGGAGTCCCAGAGCATGATGTAATCACACAGGGTCACGTGCATGCTCCCGTCGGCCTCGGCCTTGCCTGTAATACAGAGTTTATTAGTCAAGGAAAAAACCTCTGAGGCTCAGGCAACATGTTCACAGCTAAAACTGATATGAATTGTTGCATATCAGGATTGAGTTTGCAAGCCATCGACACGGAGCGCTCTGTGTGACGTGCCGATGTTTCACGCCAGACCGGCACGGGTCAAAACAAGAAGATATTTCAACCCGATTTGCAGATGTGCGGAGGTTATCTCGTCCTCAGAGCGACTCTCAACACGCCGGAGTCATTACAGCGCGTCTTCGCGGACGAGAGAGAGACTCGCGTTTCACTGCAGCGCTTCCAGCCGTCAACTCTTCCGGCTGGAGGAGGGAAGATTGGTTCTTAAAAGAAGCCCCGGTCTGCAGAAAGTTAACAGTCCCACTTGAGAGTGCGCTTAAACGCTGGCCTCAGCAGCAGCTCTGTAATGAGGGCCGTGTTTGCGGGTGCACCTCTGTCTGCGATGGGGAAACCAGAGCATGCATGACATCATTAGGTGTCTCGATTGTGCTGCTTTCAGTCACCATACCAGCTAGTTAAAGATTTGGGCTCTGGTGGAGAGCGGGATTGGAGGGTTGATACTACTCTGATATCTGTTTTTTAAGTCCAAAACTACAGCTAGCAGCAAGTTAGCTGAGCTCAGCAGAACGACAGGGGAGGACCTCTCGCCTGGTTTGGTCCAAGTGAAACAAAATGAACGTACCAGCATGCTCAAAGCTCTTTAGTTGACACATTTTGCTTCAAAATATAGGTCTAAAATGTACCAACCTATGAACTCCTAAAGGGGAAATATCGTTTTTTTTCCAGGTGCAAAATGCCTCACGATGTCCAAGTCACAACACATCCAGCCAACAAGAGGAAGTTCTCTTTAGGTTGTTATCTTGTAAAGTGGAATATTTTATTTTCATTTCGGTCATCACCTTGAGCATCGAGATGTGAATGACGTAGTTTCCCAGCTCGCAGGAGATTAAGCCGCAGCACGGCAGACAAGGTGACTCCCTGTCTCCACGGGGTTTAGTCAGCGGCAAGTCATTACCCATAATAACATAAACAGTCACTCCTCCTACACACAAAATGGACTGTTTAGCCTTCATCCAATCTCACGTTTGTCTGCCCAACTGTTTACACCTGGAGGTTGATATCTGATTATGTGTCCGTTTCCTGTTTGCTTTTTTGCAACTGAGACACAAAGTTGCACAACATGTCGTTTTAACATTTCTGTTTCGTCTGTATTAAAGAAATCTCTCCCGTTACCAAGCAGACGCAAAAGCTCAGAAGCACCACACACACACACACACCTGAGATCAAGTACTCCTTCTTGCCGTCGACGTCCAGGGTGACGCCACAGACGGCAGACATGGGCGCGGTGAAGACCGCCTCGATGTCCCGGGTGGGCCCCTTGAACATCTGGATGAAAACCACAGCGAGGGCGAGTCAAAAAGGTCAGAAGTCGCCGCAGTCTGAGCATCAAAATACAAGAAGGCATCCGGCGGATCCTCCAAGTCAATCGGTGCTGTCTTACCTTGATCTGTTTGATCTCGTACTGGATCCTCTTGATCGGGTTCCCGTAGACATCATTCCCAGAATTCACCTCTCGCTCTCCGACCACCTTCGCTCGAATCACTGTTGGGGAAACAGCGGGACGTGGCGTAAGACTTCACTTTGTTGCATGATCAAAAAAGAAAGACGATCCAGTGAAAGGATGCAGAGGGTCTGCTGCCGTGAACGAGGTGTTGTTATCTTGTGGTCGGCTCGAGTGAAATGGCTGGAGCCCCAATGAGATTAGCTCATTGCAGATACGTTGTTATGTGTAGGTTTATCAAATGTCAAACATCAAAATGAAACATGGGAAAAATAAAAACACCCTGTGGACTGTTTTGTATTACATTTAGCGGAGTAACAGATTCCTCTTTATTACGGTCAAAAAGAGACGTAAGTATATGTTTATTTTCGGTCTATAAAAGATTGATAATAGGTCTCAAAGTAACGTCTTCAAATGTAATCTTATTTGGACCGACCGACAAAGAAAATCACTATGGTCAAAGAGAGAAAAGCAGCATATTTTCAAATTGGAGAACAATTCAGGAGACATTTAGTCTATTTGCCTTAAAAATTTCACTGCAAAACCCAAACTAGGGCTCCCATTAGGTCCAAAACTGCATGAGGGCCAGACACATAAACTGACGTGGCCCGCGGCAGGAAACTGGCCAAGGAGCAGAATGAACAAATAGGAGTACACCTTAAAAAGCCAACATGCAGAGACAGAGAGGGCGAGAGAGAGAGAGAGAGCAGCATGCTTCTCACCATGTGTGTGTTTTAATGGTCGAACGGACTACATTAAGCTGCACGCTTTAGGGCATTTATTCAGAGTGAAAGAAATGAGCAATTGAGACAAAAATAAAAAGGAACAGAAGACAAGTACACATAGATAAACACACACACACACACACACACACACACACACACACACACACACACACACACACACACACACACACACACACACACACACACACACACACACACACACACACACACACACGTAGTAGGTGTGTGACGATGCCGTATTCACCAAAACGAATACCAAAATCCTTAGACCACATAACTGTTGACGAAGTCCCCTCGTTGTTGTCTTTGTGCACGTTGTGGTTAACCACAAAACCCGCTGTACTCATCAGCTCCACCCCAAAACCGTTGACGCACAACGACATCGACTATTGTGCCTTTAGCGCACTTCCTTGGCCAGTAGACCAAAGCTGTAGTGACTCATCCACCCTTTAAAAAGACAACATGAGCACACGGGACACAAATACACGGACGCACCACCTCCGAGTCGTCGCAGCTCACACAGTTGTGCGTGAATGAGGAGTCGAGAGAGGAAAGAGGAAAAAGTCGTTGGGTTTCTCATTCTCGAGGATGCAATTCATATTTTGGACCTAAAACTCACCCTGAACTGACAGCCAGATGTCACCTGAAGCTAGTGTGTGTGTGTGTGTGTGTGCGCGCGCGCATTACATCGAAGCAAAGTTTGGAAAACCCCAGCAGCATTCCTGTAATTCCTCCCAGCACCACTCCTCACAGGAAGAAACGAGGCCGGAATGGAAATTTTAAAAAAAGTGATAATAAGAGGAGAGCTTGCGGTGTGGTTAGACCCCCATCCCCCCCGCCTAAAAATAAAAAAGAGATCTCTTCACATTCTCCATCCCGGGTCCTCCTCCCTGCTCTTTCCCTCCTTGTCTCAGTCTCTTGTGCCACGTTGTCGCCGCCTGGTTCCGGAGCAGCTGAGAGGTGAACTCGCTCTTCCCCTCCGGACTTTGAGGCATCGCGCACGGTGACAGTGACGCGCACACAACTAATGAGACACGATATTCCATCTTCCTGAGGGGTCGAGAGCGCAGCACTGAAATATGACAATTAAATAAGAGGGAATAGACCAGCTCATATAATAAATAACACGTTAACAGGTGCGCGTTTAACTCCCTTAACGGATGTAAGATGCATTTTATGAGGGAGTTTACTTCAAAACGAGCACGCGTTTGTGTCTTTTTTGTTGTATTCCTGTGCTTCACATTTTGGCTACTTTGGTATTTTAGAAATGTACTGCTGTTACACGGCATGACAAAATATGACAACGATATGTGCTGTGCGCGTGTAGTGGTCGATCCGGATGCAACGCGCGCCGTCAGGCCTCGGTGTCTGCGCAACAGGGGCCAGGTAAACAACAACAACAGCAGCAGCAGTCCAGTTCAGTGACGTCACTCACCCACGTCGGCGTTGCAGAACGCCTGCTGCGGGTGAACCGGAGCGCAGCTGCACGCCTCCGCGAGCTCCTCCGCGCGCCACAGGACCAGCAGCGCGAGCGTGCAGAGGATGCCGTTAACGGAAAACGGCATCGTTAAAGAAAAAATAATAAAAACACCGATGGCGACGTTTGCTTCCTTGCTCGGCCTCTTCGCTGCGCGGGTGCGTTTGCGGGTGTTGGATCCAGCTGCGTAGCCTTTTTTTTTCTTTTTCTTGTTTGAATCGAGAGAAACCCGGTCGACAAAACAAAAACAGCACCGGGCGGCTCTGCTCGCTCAGCTGCGGCGTAACGGGGATGTTTGGCGGCGCGCTCGGCTGCTCTTCACTGGAGACCGCAGCTGTCTGTCTTCAGGGAGTGTTTTGATTTCTGGGATCGAGGCGCTTTTATAAAGCAGCCCGTCGCAGCTCCTCCTCCCGGCGGTACCGACCCGACCGGGAGGGGGCGCTGACCAAAGGGGTTACGCTCACCGCCATATATATACACATAGAGATATATTTAAATATACATGTATATTCATATTTGGTTGTTTTACATAACATCTTTAATTAAATAAATCTTTCACTGTTATGTTGAATTTATAAATTGTCTGCTGTAGTGGATTTATTTTACTCACTACCAAGTAAGCCACTCTGTCGCAGTACTTTTTAGTATTTTTATGATGCCAATTTGCACTCCTACTCGACAACATTTCAAAGCTTATTGTTGACAGCAAATTGTCCAATATTTCAATTAAAATGTATTTTTTTTACATTGAATGTCATTTAGCTGATGCTTTTATTCAAAGCGACTTTCAATAAGTGCATTTCAACCATAAGGATGCAAACCCAGAAGAACAAGAAACTGCTTTCTCATTTAGTTAAAAACCTATCCATAAATGTAACAACCTTTCATGCATATAACGTTTATGTTGCCTACATTTTTTTAAAGTATATTTTATCACATATAATCTTGACAGATTAGTCAAAAATAAAAAGCACATGGTCAACATTCCAAATACTTGTGGTTTTATTCAATCTTCCACTGATGACTGTGGCACAAGTCTGAGTTTACACACAGCAACATGAACCGAATGGTGAATCATGCAAACATGTCGTATTTCTAGCTCTAGTCCGGCAGAAGAGGGCGGTATCCTCCACTTTTGAATCGCACAAAACTTCCATACCACACTGAATGACCATCACAGAGTTCAGAACTATGCGTAGACGTATTCCTCTGGTTTCAAAGTAAAGCTGGTTTAAAGGAGAAGAAATACAGCAGTGTAGTTGCTCCTGACGCTTTGACAAAAGGCACAGATCGTAAACAGCGAGGAGAAAGACAAACACAAAGGCAATGAAAACGACTAAAGTCATGAAGGACAAACTGGTTCTGATCAGACAAAGTAATGTGCAGTTTCTGAGAGGAGATCATTTGGTTTCTCAACAGGAGCACACAGCGCCACTTGTATCGGTTTGATGTTCGATAACATACCTAGTTCAAACCGAAAAAATGATAAAAAAAAGGGGCATGGCTGATCTCGGAATAATTAGAAAATGAAGAATTATTACGCAACCAACCATTTTTTTTCCATCTAGTGCTGCGAGCGGAGAGGCGGCTCTCAGAGGCCTTTGTTGAAGTAGACACGTTGCACAGCGTCTCCATAGCGAGACACGATGGAGTCCCTCAGCTCGGGCTCCAGCTTGGACACGGCCATCGAGCTGACGAAGACGGCCGGAGGGATATTTCATGAAGATGGGGCGGGGCAGAGAGAAAGGAGAAGGAAAGAAAACTGTTATTATTAATTACAAAAACAAGTTACTGCAACATCGTATTTGCAACATTGTATTGACAACAAACCCACGTCTCAGGTTCGGTTGCATCAACTTCAATTCAACGGTCAACTGTCAACATCCTGAGCCCAGAAACGCTACTAGGATGCAATGCTAAGATCTGTGGATCACGATAATTATGTAGTCAGGTGAAAGTATAGAAAGGAGTTTGATACCATCTCTGAGGGAACAGGGAGCAGGCAGCCGGCACCATGAAGACCAAACTTTAAAAAAAAGAAAAAGAAAAGTAAAAGAAAAGTAGTTGTGAGCTGATTAAAACGTGCCGTTAGCCTCTCTACTTACAACCCTCCCACCAGCATCACTTGAATCGGCCCGTGGAGAAACGTGATTCTCTGTGAAAAGACAGAAAGGGTTTGATGACGGAGCACATTTGATGAAGGATGCTGATGAAAGCAATTAGGGACTAACCTGCATGAACTTGTATTTCTCCATCCTCTGCATGATGATGGGCAGGATGACTGATAGAAGAGAAGATGAAGGTTAAGAAGGGAACAGGACAACTGCAGGAATGTTCATACCACGAGGCTCCTCTGCGTACTCATTCCCGGTGCAGCCATGGTGATCCGAGAGACGACCACCTGCGTGATGCCTTTCACCGCCGCTTTCTGCAGGGGCACAACGAACAGGATTTGAAGACGCTGTACGAACCGTAAAGGAAAACCATTGTGCTTTCATTTTTAAATGAACCGATGCAAGTGAAGTATGTAGTAAGGGTGGCGACCGTGGAGTGGCCCAGTTTGTTGCCATTTTCGTCCGTGACTGCAATACCATTCAGAATTTCCCTGAAAATACAGAAAGGGGGGTGAAGTGTAACAGATCGGCCGCCATGCTGAAATGCTGCACAACAATTTAAATATTATTTCACGTTGTTAAATTCAAGGTCATTTCTGACAAACACGGCCGGCCTTACTGTTGCCTCATCATGGGAACGTTAACACAGTTTGCAGACGCCACGGCTGCAAAGGGGACCCAGCGAGCCACGAGAGGAGGAGCTTTCTGCAGGAGAAAAGACACAAAAACAAATCAGGTGCTACGATTCTTACTTTCCAATCGTCAGCCTTACTGTACCGCGCGTGATCGAACCGAAACATTTAAAACCAGAAGGACGAGAGAAATTGCAGAATGAAGAAAATAAAAGCCGAGCAGGTTTTAGAAATCTCCATCCAAATTTAAATCCTGTGGTATTTGGTCCCACTTTTAGGGACTTCTAGGTGAAAATGTTACGTAACCTTCATCATAACTTCGGAAATTGCTCCCAACCTGACCTGCATCCAACAGAGCTCTACATTTTCCATCATGCTGGAAGTTTCCAGGAGATGGCGTTGGACGCTCTGCAAGAGGAGAGCATTGTAGAGGAATGCTTGATGACGATCATTTCTGAGACTAAGATGCAGATGTTAAAACACGCCATGTCTGCAGAAATCAACGTCCTCACAGACTGGTAGTGGTGAAAATGCAGACGCACCAGAATGTTAATAAGGACAATGAATGCACGTGGTGAGAGTCGTCTGGTGGGTGCAGACAGTCACTTTGCACAATTAGGGATGTCTCAGGATAAATACAACATGTAAAACATATTTGCATATCATTATAGAAAAACTACAGCATTTCCAAGGGAAACATCAAAGTATTCACAATGAATTGGATAAAGACAACGTCCAGTTTGAAAGGTGCGCTCGTCCGATGATGCAGGAAACACTTGTTTATGGTCAGAGCAGGGGTGGGCAAACTACGGCCTGCGGGCCGGCCCTGGCCCGCTGCGAGACCAGCTGCTGCTGTCTTTGCTGCAGACATACGGACACACATGAATGAGCTGAACATGAAGCTACAAGGGAAAGATCAGTTTGTGCATGAAAATGTACACGAATGAGAGCGTGAGAGTCTTCAAAGCCAAGTTGACTTGGAATTGGATGTCATTGATCTTCAATGTGACGCCATCTTAAAAGGAGAAGTTCAACCTTAACCTGGCTGAATTCTATGCTTCACTAAGCGAAGCCAAGTTTTCACACAGATGATGCTGGTGTTGTTTGGCTCTACTTAGGTGGTTGAGCAGACGTTCAGCGTGATGAACACCAACAAATCACGCCGCAGATCCCAGTTAACGGATGAACACCTCAGATCTGTCCTGAGAATTGCCAGAACAAAGCTGACACCAAACTATCATGCACTGGCAGAAAAGGGGGACTTATTGGCTTTTACTTATAATTTATATTGGTTGACATGAACACTCTCTATCCATCTGATACCGGCCGGCCCGTCTGTCTGTCAAATTTTAAAAGTCAATGTGGCCCCTGAGCCAAAAGGTTTGCCCACCCCTGTGTTAAGAGTTTGATGACACATTACGCCAGTAGGAGAACTCATTGAAACGCATTGTTTGTGTGTGTGTGTTCGTACCTTTGTGTACAGGTTGAGTCCCACTGCGGTTGCCAGCGCGGTGCTGGTCGCTGTGACGTAGGCTACGCCAATCTGCCTGAGAGAGACAACAGAAGCCTTTTTCACACACAGAACACAACACATTGGTGTCTGTTACGTAAAGGTCGCGGCGTCTGATGCAGACAGGGTTAAAAAGTTTGACGACATTAATGAGGAATACTGTGTTTTTATTTTCTCAGGCTGCACTAGTGATTTGAAAATAAAAGCCATCGAGCTTTGAAGGCTTGAACAATTCCCAATTTCACCACAGGTTAAATCAAAAAACATTGAGTCAAATCGTGTTTGTGTCAAGCATTTTCCTGGCCAGTAGTAATTACTTTCCTGGTATTGGCTGGAATGAAAATAAAGACATATATAGAGATCGTTTATGTGGTTGTATGAATTTTTCATATAGAGACTTAACGTTGTCTTGATTGCTGTGTTTTGTGATGAAACTGATTTACTTTGACTGAAAGAGTGCAAGTGCTTTTAATAACAAAATGTGTGCCTCATCTCTCCGTGAGCTGCCACTGCCTTTGCGGTAACGTGGTGGTAATAGTTCAGATCAGCGGTTCCCAAACTCAAGAATGCCGCGGCCCAATTTGAAATCTGAAAATCTTTTGCGGCCCACCCAAACCTTTAATCACAACTCTGATCCAAACATAAACTAGGGATGATTAAATGACCTTAACAATTTAACCGATTAAAAATGTATTAACCAACAATGTATGTTTTGTATACCATTTTCTACGGAGCTCATATATATTTACTTTAATACTACAAGAGGGCGCCGCATTTGACATATTTTTATATTAATTTCAAACTTTTCAAAATTGAAAATTAAAAACATTTTATTTATTCATTGTAAATGACCTCTCGCTGCCCACCTGCAGTACCAGGCCCACACTTTGGGAACCGCTGGTTTAGATGATGGAAAATCACTGCCAGGTCGTACTAACGAGGTCTGAAACACGCTCGGAAGGAACACGGCAGGAAGCTCGGGGTACGTTCTTACTTGGGAGTGATGGGAGACGCAGCGTTGCGGTTCGTGTAGTTGACCAGAGCGTTGAAGGACTGATTCACCCACTGCCAGAACACCACAGCAGGAACTGTTCTAGAAATACAGAGCGTTATGAGACGCTTCCCCCTGTGAAACCAGCGCGGGTGGTACCACGCGCCTCCTCCAGCTCGCCCCTCCGGTACCTGTAGAACTGCAGCATGAAGCCGGTGATGGCCATGCCTCCGGGCACCTGGAAGGACATGCGGCCGATGAGGTTCATGCGGTCTCCGGTGTCCGGGTGGAAGGCCGAGTCGTACAGCTTCTTGGCGTAGTGGAGCTGCTCCTCTGTGGTGCCGGGGGGGACGGACCCCGCCCTACAGACGCGCGAGGGGCAGTTAGAGGAGTGTGGGCCGAATAGAAAAAAAGGGAATATACACCTCAGTGCTGTAACTGGGCCTCTGTTGGATTTATTGCACGGCCTCCTTACCTGCACTGCGCTACTAAAGCTTTGGCCTCATCCAAGCGCGAGTCAGGCAGGACCACCGTCCGCCAGTCCGTGACGTTGAAGAAGTGATTGAGTCGGCCCATGAACGTCGACTGATCCCATCGCGGCGCGTCGATGTCGAATGACCTCGAAGCCATCGTGGTTGCTGAAATCAGACCAGACTTAATGCATTAAGAAATAAAAGTGAAAGTGTGCCGGCCGCCTCCGTTTACTCTGCAGGAGGTCAGTCAGCAGCTGTGGTCAAAACCGGCAGAAAAGGAGACGAAGAAGAATACAATTGACGAGAAGTGCGTTGATGAACAAAGGAGCACGAGAGACGAGCTTGGCTCTGACTGCGGATGAACACAGGATCGGTAGTTAATCAGTAGATGTTATGGATCTCTGTTACCACAACCAGGTTCCATGTTTGATGTCAAACTAGACAGACCTGGTTTAATCTGTTCTAACATTAACAAATGTTTGAATTGGAGAGGGTCAGACTGTTTTACTTTTGTGTGTATGTGGAGAGCTGCAACGATTAGTCAATTAGTCAAAGACAACTTTTGATAATTCATTAATTGTTTCCAGTATTTTTTAGCAAGAATGCTCAACGTTTACATCTTATATGACAAAAAATATATTTAGGTTTTAGAGGGTTAGTTGGTCAAAACAAGTATTTTGAAGCACTTTCCTTGGGCTCTAGTTTTTTATAAATTGCTAGATTAAAACAACAACAATGTAAATTGTCGAAGCAGCCTGAAGTACTCATGTTGGTTTAGAAGCCGTTTCTCCCTCCCAACGTGCTGGCAAACAAACCCAACACAACCCTGAACAAACACAAACTCAAAAAATCTCATGGGTCAAACCTCCAGCAGAAATCATCGACCACCTCCTGGTAAATGTTTCCATCGGTTGCCATTTGTTTTTTGTTTTTTTGCAGCCGCAGCGTTCTGCGTACTTGGTTCAAGGAACCAGAACCTGCTGACTAAAACCGCCCAAACGTCCCACGGTGCGTCCTCATCCTCACATTGGCAGTTATTTATTATTATTTATTTAGTGTAAAGAATCATTTAGGGCTACAACAATTCATTTTACATTCTATGTACAACTAGTTGTTTTTGTGATTGGTTGCAAATACTGAAAAATGCACATGACAATTCCCCAGAGCCTAAAACTGCAGCTGCAAAGTCCCTTGTTTTTGTCCAACCAACATTCTTAAATTAAATGTATTTTGTTTATTGAACGTTTATTAACGAAATAAACAGATAAAAGCGGGTGGATCCCCCCACTTGAAAAGCTGGAAGTTGATAATATTGTTAAGCAGTTCTAAATATTGACATTTACACATTTTCTGCCTGTCAATCAATTGTTTCAGTAGAAAATGCCTACAAAAATATTAACTAAATAAACAAACCATATCTTCAGCGGCAGGTATTGCCAGAAGAAGGATGAATTAATCTGCAGCTGCACGCTGATGATGAATAAACTGATTTCAAGTTGTGTTTCAAGCATAAAGGTCACATTTTCTCTTCCTCACATCTGCGAAGTTTCGCAAATGTGAGGATTTGTTTTTCTTCAACACATTTAAAATTCAACTTAATAGCTTGATGTTTTGGATTGTTTGGTTTAACAAAAGAAGCGATTTGATGGTGCAGAGTAGAGCTCAAAGAAACTGAACGTGTTCTCAAAGTAGACGGCCAATCAATACAATCAATCAATCAATACAAATGATTAGTAAACTGCGGCCTCATGAATGGACGGAATGCTTTAGGGTTTTTATGAATGAATGAGATAAATCGACAATGAGAGTATTGTTTTTTGTGTATTTTGAGGGACAGGTAAGACATAAACAAGTTTTAATGTCTGCTATAGTTAAGTTATTGAAGTAACGTTTGGATACCATGACCTACATTTACTAAAAGTACTAAATTACACATATTCAAAGACTTGAACTCAATGGGTTCACGGAGTTGTTCGTCCACCGACCACACTGCTGTAAAAACAGTCCAAACGTGTCAGAAGGAGCTTTGGTGTGATGCAACTCACACCTCGAGTTACCGACTGACTGCTGCAGGAGGCAATAAACTCCAATAAAACACGACTCGAGAGCTCGACATCTTTTAGTCTACACCGAACCACGTTAACGTACGTTACGTACCTTTGTGAGACTCGACCCTTTCCCCCGCTGCGAGCTGTCAGGGAATCGAACGTGCTCTTGTGGAATAGCGAGGACGTGTGCATGCGGAACACCGTCCTCCAATCACGGGCCGGGGCAGCTACCCACGTGACACCAACCCCGGCGGTTTTTACTGTTTTACTGACTATAATAGGGGGGGGGAATGCATGAAACAGGTGTAGCTTCTCCCAGCCTTGCATGTGTTTGCCAGTTAGCAGTTAGCAGGAAGCTCGCGGAACTTCCTCCATGTGTAGGCTGCTGTCGGAGTGTTTTACGTAACTGTACGTCTGACGTCACAGCCCTTAGTAACCCTCGGCGGCGTCTCCAGGAGAGAAGGCAACAAGATGGTGAGTTTAATTCTGTCGTAGTAATTAGCTACTAACACCTTGATAAATGTGAACATATTCAGCGTTAGGAAACGATCATTTGAAGGCATTTGGGATTCAACCGCTGTCGTTTTTCGCAACCCGCCGAGAAAAACATTCAACGGCAACGGCTGCCTTGTTTGCATCGCTCGGCTATCTGGGGAGATTAGCTTAGCACGTTAGCTACCGTTAGCTCCCGTTTGCGTGCCGACAACTAACTAGCCCGAACAAGCCTTCGACGCTCAGTGAAACCAAAGGGGTTGACACGACTAAACTACTCGCGGGACCCGCTTCTGCGTTCGCGTACTGGTACCGTTAGCCGAGTGTTTGCACGTCTCTATGAGCCCCCGTGGGGACTAGGAGTGCTCCTGCACGGGCCTGTGAGATCGGAATCCGAGGGGATGGATGGAAAGGGATGAGTGTCTGCAATGGTGTTTAGCTGCAACTGCGCTCCTCTCTGGCAAAGTAACATCGCATTTATCACTGATTCTTTTATTTTCTTTGCAGGGATTGCTGTCCATCCTGCGTAAGCTAAAGAGCACACCAGACCAGGAGGTTAGGATACTGCTGCTGGGTTTGGACAACGGTGGGAAGACCACCTTGCTCAAACAGCTGGCATCAGAGGACATCAGCCACATCACCCCCACACAGGTATAGGGGACAGTTCTGCACCCCCACCAGCTGTTATGAGATAAAATGGTCATAACAGGACAGTGTCACTTTCTTGTACCAGGAATGTTCAACCCTTTGCTTTTTGTTTTGTGTTGTACGCAGGGATTCAACATAAAGAGCGTCCAGTCTCAGGGTTTCAAACTGAATGTTTGGGACATTGGAGGCCAGCGGAAGATCAGGCCGTACTGGAGAAACTACTTTGAAAACACAGATGTGCTGGTGAGAGGAGTTGGACGCATCAAACAAAACCACTGTTTTGATCTGTTTATCTTCGGGGGAAGTCCCCTGTTGTCACACTGAGGACCTGCTGCACATCCTAACAGGGAAAACCTCCATTCTGTTTCAGATTTATGTCATTGACAGTGCTGACAGAAAGAGATTTGAGGAGACGGGTCAGGTAAAAACTATCCACTTTATTAGTAGAGACTGAGGAAAACCAAAAAAAGTTAAAGCCAGTGATTTCACTTGATATCTTGTATTTGAAAAATATCAGAATTTGTGTGTGTGATTATGTATAATTGATAGAAGTGTGTGTGCACGTTCGCAGGAGCTGGCGGAGTTGTTGGACGAAGAGAAGTTGAGTGGCGTTCCTGTGTTGATCTTTGCAAACAAGCAGGACCTTCTTACAGCCGCCCCCGCCTCTGAGATCGCAGAGGGTCTCAATCTGCACACCATCCGGGATCGCATGTGGCAGATCCAGTCCTGCTCCGCCCTCACTGGTGAGGGGATTCAGGTGAGCGTCCGGGTTGAGCTTGAATTGTCTTTAGCTTTCATCTTTTGAGGTGCCTGTTGTTTTCTTGTTCTCACCATGCGGCTCTCTCTTCAAACCACTTTCAGGAGGGCATGAATTGGGTCTGTAAGAGCGTCAACTCCAAGAAAAAATAGCTCCGCTTCCAGTCTTCTGCTTCTCTGGAGGAACAACAACAACTACAACAGCATCAGCAACACACACTGACACACGTTGCACCCTACTGAGCCTTAGCACGATGGAATACACCTGTGAATGTAAACACACTACTAATCCAACATGGACCTGGAGTTTTTAACTCCCCTGCATTTCCGTATCACTGATTCACTAATCTCAGCACATCTTCCTGCATTGGCCCTCCACACGGAGGGCGGGAGGGGCGGCAGTTCATCTTGAAAGGGATCCCATGCCAGGAACTCAACCTCCTCCACTCTGACGACCCGCGTCACCATTACGGTCCCCACCAAACCCTGACGCCATCCACGGCCGGTCACAACCTCAAGCATTCCTATTAAACGGCTGCCTTTCATTGAAATTCCAGCTTGCTCTTTAAATTTTTTACACACTGCCCTCAAAACCAAATCCCAAGCCCCCCCCCCCTCCCACACACACTCTCCAATCACCATCACCAGCTTTTGCTCCATTTTATTCATCCAGGTTGTGCTGTTTGCTTTATATCATTTCACAATGGCTCTGTTTGAAGTGAGGTATATTTTTGTAATTGTTTTATTTATGGTGAAGTATAGCGTACTGCTTTCAAGTAGAGTGTAGTGCTTTCAAACAACCAGTGTGACGTGTGTGTGTGTGTGACTTAAAAGATGTTGGTGAAACAATTCCAACTCTTCCAGCTAAAGAGCAATACTGTACATGTTAATATGTATAAAACAAGATGAGATTAAATGGATTAGAGGAACTACATTTTTGGATCAAGTGTAAATAGCTCGGCCCTTTGGTTGTATGTTATGTTCCGCACATGTTATAGAGTATTTGTTACCCTGCTGTACTTTGTAGACTATAACGTTTGCATATCTACCACATACAGATTTCTAACCAAGGTTTACGTACTGTACGTCCCAATGCATTTCTTTGTCTCCAATGGGTTTGTGGAGGGATTCAGTCTTTTGCCATTTCATTTTGATATTCTTGAATGTAATCTGTCCAGAATTGAAGGTACTGTATGGGAATAAAAATACAAGAAGTTCTGAAGTCGTTGCGTTCTTCAGCTCCCTCGGATCTCGCCGGGCTCTCGTGGTCAAACGCAGCAGCAGCAGGTGAAGTCAGCTGTTGGTGGCAGCGTTGGAGCTTGGGTGGAGAGGCCTCTGGGGGAGACAGCAGGCGAGGGTAAAGTACGCAAAACTGGATGGAAGCGCATTGAATCCAGGGATGAAATGTACTGGAAGGGGTGTAGCACTATGAGGTCATACTCCAAATTGCTCACAACTTGTCAGAGTACCCAAGTAGACTTTAAGACATCTAAAAGTTTGACTTAATAAGTGAAATTAACTGCATTTCCTTCACCTTTACAGTTGCAATTAAACATTTTAACTGCCTCAAGAAACAATATCTAAGGTTTAATTGTTGTCAAGGGCTGCAGTCTACGAACTATAAAATAAAATGTATATTTTCTTTCTGGAACGGCAGGAGTTTCGGGCAGGTGGTGCTGTGTCCACCTTGTTGTGTGAATACCTCACAGCCTGGTGCTGAGTGGGAGACGCTGGATCCTCTCCAGAATAAAATGACAAGAATGTCGATCTGCTTCGCCCAAACCTCGCACCCATGAGAACGCCTGCGTTCATGCGATGCCTGCGTGCTACGAGGGGAGCTTTTTAATATGACAACTGTGGTTACTTTGACTTTAAATAGAGAACATGTGAGCGTATAATATGAGATGTCATCATAGATTAGAGACACTGCTCACTCATGATTAGACCTGCTGAGGCCGGCATTAACAATATTACGTCACAACTTGTCCTGTGAGAAAAACTGAAAGGAACATCCCCGAAGTCCTAAAAAATACTTGGTGTTTATCTTGCAGATTGGGTGCAAAGCAGTGAATGTGTTTTGCTTTTTGGACGTTTGAGCTCAGGTTTTGCTCTCCGACGATCAGTTTCGATACTTCTGCTTCGTGTGCGATTTCATTGTGTTAGCGATTAAAAATCAGAGCGACTGTAGAAAGTGCCTCAAAGAAGCCATGTGGAGGTGTCATATGTTTAACAGCGTACAGGAACAGCCCGCCATGTGTTTTATTTTTTCGCATTGTTTTTGACTGACTCACAGGGCCTCGGAGACCTGCAAAAAGGCCTCCTCTTCTTCGCTCACAATGATCCTCATTGTCAAGGCTTCGCCTCCTCTCACAAAGACAGAATGCAGTAACGCATAGTCTTTAACCTTTGTAACCACCAACTCTCACGAGCCACTACGGCGAAGACAGAACGGTGCACCGCGTGAGTCACATGGAGAAACACAAAGACACCCAAAGGGAATACGTGGACCGCTGAGGAACATGCTTCTTTGCGTTCTGACGTAGAATTCAGTGCGTGTTTGTGTACTATTTTGTATACTTTGTATGTAGTGTTTAGTGTTTATTAACTCAAATACTTTCTCCTCGGTTCCAGTCTTTATGCTAAGCTAAGCTAACCAACTGCTGGGTGACACAAACAAAGAGTCCATCTTTGTGTTTTAACAAGTTTGTTTTTTAAACCTCCAAATGAGGAAAGAAAAAAGTCTGCGGTTGTTTTATGAGTGTATAAAAGCTTTTTCTTCACACAGTGTGTTTGTTGGTAATCTAAAGTAGTGCATGTGTTTACGTGTATGTGTGGGTCAGAGATACATATAGAAGACATAGGCGACCGGACTACTGCCTTTATCCCCATGCACCGTGCAAGTGTGAGAAAATGAGTGTGTCAAGAGAGAGAGAGAGACAGAGAGAGATGGGGAATGTTTGTGTGGAGAGAGAGAGGGGGGGGGGGAGTGTGTTTGTGTGTGTGTCAGAGAGTGAAATATAGAAAAGCAGAGCTCTAATTTATGCTTCACCTCCGACCCCAAAGTTCTTGGATGCAAGTGTCTCTGCTGAGGTTTGCTGACGTGAGAAACCAAAAAACATCAGGCCTGGAGACGGGAAAGAGGTGGGAGGAAGAGCAGGGTGGAACGAGAAGAAGCAACACCATTAAAATGTTTGTTTGTATTTGTGCATTAACCACTGATTGGAGGGTGAAGTGAAGAAGCGGCATTCCGAAACCCAAGGGGACATTTTTTAATGAATGTTCAACTCTTTGAGGCTGAGGTTCATTAAGCTGTGTTTTTCTAGAGCTCTTTGTTGTATCACGTGATCTTCTTCAGCACATTGAGCTAATGGACCAGCCGATTTTCATTTTTTGAGCACCTTTTCATTTTACTTCAACATTTTTATGTTTGAGTGATTACTACCCCTGGAAGCCTAATTAAGTAATATTTCTGTCATTTTGAGAATGATATCCCCTCGTGTTTCTGTTCATTAAGTACAAGCTAAATACAGCCAGCTTTGCTTAGAATACAGACTGAAAGTAAAAACAGCAACATGTGGGTGTATGTGTTACTTTTAGACACAGCCGTGATAGCCGTTTCCCCTTGTTACCACTCTTTATGCTAAGCTAAGCTAACCAGCTGCTATGGAATCAATCTTCTGGTTCAACTCTCTTGGGCGCGACCAAACGTAGGTCATAAATCTTTTCTCTACTGAATATGTATATTTTCATTCCCTGTTCACTCACTTGATTGAGACGGAAGGGTAGACGGGAGCCTCAATGCAACGTCTCAATCAGGCCGAGTTAAACAAACAACTGTTCATCCTGTTTTCCCTCTGCAGGCCTCCACCCACACACATACTCATGAGCAGATACAAGAGATATGTAGGGTTTGTTTCAGTGTACTCCTTAAAGTTAGATGATCAACTGAAGATGGGCAGTTGTTCAAGTGGGAGGATGTCTTTTTTTTTTGTGCGGAGACGCCTGTGTGGAGATGACTGTATGAACTTAAGAAACCCACAAGACTGAGCAGGAAACCAATGCTTCTCAGAACAAATGTGAGATATATCAACTATGATCGGAAATTTTCTATTGTTTTTGCCATGAAAAGACCACTTAAAGTAAGCATTCTCTTACCGTGAAAACCATTGAGCTCCATTCATGTTCAACAGCAGCTCTGTGATGCTGCATTGATCCACGTTTGGAAAACACTATGTAAACTAAAATCAAACATATATAAGAAAGGTTTTCTACTCTGTATTCATTAATACAAAGCTGCACACAACTATCTTCTGTAAGAAGCTAGCTAATGAATGCCAGCTAGCTAACGGCCGGTAGCTAACAAATGCCAGCTAGCTAACGGCTGCTATTTAACAAATGTCAGCTAGCTAACGGCTGCTAGCTAACGAATGCCAGCTAGCTAACGGCTCCTAGCTAACAAATTCCCGCTAGCGAACGGCTAAATCACAAACTTGATTTAGACAGGAACATGTATTATATGGTCACGTTTGTTATGGCTTTAATATCTATTAATTTTGCTAAATTATTTACATTTGTAAATTTACCAATTCAGTTTTGGATTTTCTTGCTTTATTGGGCTTCACAGTTAATCTATTTTACTGCATGGCTTTTGCGGCCTTGTCTGTCAAAGCACTAAAAGGTGCAAGTTGAATAAAGTTATTACTAACATTAGGATAATATCCTGTTTATTCCCAAAGACAGTGCAGCGGTGCTTTTTGGCTCATGTTCACAAGTGACCCTTTTGCGGGACAACGCAGCAAAATGCACATTAACAAAACATGTTAATGTCACCACCCATGTACTTAAAACGAAGATGAAAAATGGGATTTGCACAGAAATGACACCAGAGAGCAGTTTAAATTGGTTTGTTTATTTATTTGGAACCCTTCTCCAAATCACGTCTGTAATTCTTCCATTTCACAAAATATTTACAAAAAAAGATAGTTTTTTTATGTTGATGTTTCTCTTCATGTTGACTGTTGTAACAGCTCCTTTTTAGGGACGATGACAATTGCTTACATCTCGCAGTCCAGTCTTGTTCTTTTAGAAAAAGTAGATGAAAAAAATCCTCCCGACCTTCTTTTCTACCATACACTCATTTTTAAAACTGCATACATTTTTCCACCCATTGTTCTTCTTTTGAGTGCTATAAAAAACTCTTCCTTGCATGATTTCAGCTGCAAACAGGAAGCTAAGAGCTTGTGTGCTTATTGAGAGGAAGTGACATCTTTGCCCTGCAGGAAGTACAATTACAGCATCATCAGATCCTCCAGATGCTTGATTGGTTTGGTTTGTTCAGTCTTGCCTCCTGCTCTAAGATCAAAGAGTCTCTCTAGACAAGCGGGAAACCTACAGTTGTACCAAAGTCATAGTGATTACTAAATGAAACAGTCTTTGTCAGAAGATCTTATGTCCTGTGGGAAGCCTGATAGCAGGAGGTGAGTACTAGGAATAAGGGCCGAATCCTCTAAACTCTTTGGGCCAGGGTGAACCGGCGCCTTCAGATGCAGCTCCAGTGTTTCTTAGTGGGACAGCATCTGTAGTCCAGGCATAACAAGGCGTCCACAAGTGCATTGTGGGAGTTCCATGGAAGAGCATTTTGTGTTCAAGCCGTGCAATCCATCCCTGAACTCCGCAAAGAAGGGAAAGCGGTGCCATGATGATGAAAGCAAGAGACAAATGTCCCTCTTTAAAAAGGATCTACCAAAGTGAGCTGGGCAGAAAAAAATTAAAAAACGATGCTAATAATAACATAAGGCAAATGATCTCAGCACAACTAGAGGGGTGATTATATGAGGGGAACATGGAGGCGCTAAACACTGCACGGTTTCATCTCTTTTTCCTTTAACGTCAGTGAGCAGCCACAAAGAGGCGTTTTCTAATACAAGTTAATTTTCTATCCATCTTCTGCTCTATAAATAAAAAAAGATGCATGTCACGATCTGCTCTTAGGCTTCTCTTGTTTATGAGTAAAACGCTGAGCTAGGTTGTGCCAGAGTGAGCGTCGACAGATTTACGTATAATACACTACATGAAACACTGACTGAAAATAAAGAAACCAAAGAAAATAAAAACAAGAGATCAACCCTGCCTCCGAACGTGTGTGTACATGTTCTAGATCAGTGTGTGTTTACGTCGCAGTATCTTTACGTGTGTATAGTATAACTGTTTTTTCCGGTTAACAAGACTGTAACGGTGTGCTATTCTGGTGCCTGTCTCTATATCCAAGTGTGTGTGTGTGTGTGTGTGTGTGTGTACTCCGTTAACTGGTGACATAGTGCTTTGTAGAGGGCTGCCCATACAGCCCGTAAAAATCTGCATGTCTGTGTGTCTGTGAGGCGTCTATCCAGTCCCTCACTGCCAAGCCCTGCATGGACGGCCCTCCGGAGGCCAGGCCGGGAGGAGGGGGGTAGTCCTGGGTGCTGACCCAGGGGAAGGAGCCGGAGCGTGGGTACGGGGGGTGCCCGCGGTGCCCTGACACAGAGGGCACTCCGGAGCAGTAGCAGTTATCCATCGTACACACCAGGATCTTACGGCCGCCATATTGAGGCAGCACGGCCTGCTGGGAGGAGTGCGAGGAGCTGCTGCCCCCGGGGGGGAAATGCGAGGAACCGAACACAGAGCCTGAATGGTGGTTGGTCAGAGAGCCGCTTCCGCTTCCTGTCCCGCCGCTCTCGCTTATGTGCGGCGGGCCGCAGGGGCCGAGAGGCTGCTGATTGGTGGACTGACCTTCTCCGGAGGCAGAGCCGGAGCCCAGGTAGGGCTGTTTGGCTAACGATGAGGAGGAAGAAGAGGAGGAGGAAGAGGAGTCCTTGAAGCCCGAAGTGGCGGTCTTTCCGACGCTCCCATTTCCCTCTGGGAAGGCAGTGGAATGTTTCCGTTTCTCCGCTCCAGAGCCAGAGCTCTGACCGCTGGGATACGCCGGAACAGACTGCAGGAAGGTGGAGGGAGGGGTGAGGGGAACTGAGAGAAGAGAAGACGTGGAAAAAAAATAAAGAGCAGAAAAGTGGTCATTAAAACGTTAATGTCCTGGATTAAAACAGTGTAAAACGTTTTGGGAGATCCTTACCTTCTAGCGTTCTCTTCAGGCTCTTCTCTCTTTTTGAGATTTCAGATAGGAATAGTTTAGAGTTTAGATTCCCCACTTTGTAGGGAGGGAGACTGCTGCCCACACACGTCTGAGACCTGCAAAAAAATACCAAACGGCATGTAGAATTCAAGATTGAAGAAGTCAGCTTGGACCCACAGGCCAAAAAAAAGTCCATTTAGAAATTGGTCTCACCTGTCTGTGAGGATTTTAACAGGCTTGGTGTTCTTCATGAAGCTCAGTTCCTCCGCCTTGCTGAAGGCCGTGTGGATGGAGCTCAGCAGCTTCTGGGCCTCGTGGCGCTGCTCGCCCAGCGCCAAGACCTGCGCCGCGTTCTCCTGGCAGAACCGAGCCTGAGCCCGGTCCAGAGCCTCCAGTGTCCTACCGAGATCCTCCTCCAGGAGCTGGTGCATCCGCTGGTACTGCAGACGCACCTCCTCTTTGAGCTCACACACCCGGTCCTGTAGAGGATCGCGCACGCACACACACATCAATCTGGTGTCTCTCTGCATCACATAACGCTGCTTTGAAAATGACTGCAGTTGCGTTGACGCCCAAAGATTGTGGTAAAAAAACAAAACATACCTCAACTACACACTTGTCGGAGTCTAGTTTGCACAGCTGCTCTTCAATCTCCTGCACTCGTTCCTCCACACGCTCCTGTTGTCTTAACAGGCTTTGCTGTGAGGAAAGAAAAGGAGCCGTCAGATTTTTCTGGGGAGGTTGTGACCTCGGCGAGCATCCCCTCCCCTCCTCATGCCAGAGGTATCAGAATCTGGGAGCTGGTTAATTTAGTCCCCCAACCAACACGCAATCTCCGTGTGGGCGGAGGAAGATTAGGGAGGGTGTGCCGTCATGGCAACGGACAGCTATTTTGTGTTTGTGCCGAGCGAGGACTAAGGTCGGGGGAGCTGGATAGATAAATGGGCACACTGGAGGCAGAAAACGCTCCGGCCGCTTTGCTCATTATTTCCTACTTAAAAAATAAAGAAATGGAGTTAGACGGCTTCCCGGGAGCTGAGGGGATGATTTGGCATCTCTAGGACGACGATGGTATGTGAACGACAGGCTCAGACCAAAACAGAGGCGCGTATCCGGCTCCGCTTTAGGTCAATATAAATGAAATAACGTAATGAATGGCTCCATGTGAGAGCACCAACTGTTCACGTCTCTCAATGAGACTGACTAGGAATGTCATTGACACAGATCTGCTAATCCTTCATGTTGTTAATATTTAATATGAGATTTGAACAATCCTCAAAACATTTAATGGTTAATGAGAAGCTAAATGTTGCACTGCAAACATTCAAATAACTAGATTCAAATAAAGAATATGTTTATTTTCATCATCAATTAATCTGCTGTTCACATCTGGTTGAATCCAAAAGTACTCTCCTTATTTTTTAGTTCATCAAATGCAAATTTGCTTCATGAAGAAAAAATAAAAAAATAAAATAAAACAAAAGAAGCAAATCTTCACATTTGAGAAGCTGAAACCAGCCAATATTGGATTTTTTGCTTAAAATCAATCTTGTAACTAATTCATTCCATCACTGCTCCAATTATTCTAATAGTTACAAATTTAAATCTGTATATAAACCATGAACACATATTGCACACTGTGAATACAGTTTAGATATTTAAGCATCAACATTTTGTGTAATCTAGTCAATCTAGTCCAATCTAGTCCATGAATATCCACTCACCCACTTCCGTGGCACTGTTGTTTACAACTTACAGACAACTTCACTTGTAAAAATAGGCTTTATTTTGATTTTAATGTTGCTCATTGGTGTCGTTTAAACATATTTGGACAATATTTTTGTATAAATGCCGTTGCAAAGTGGTTTAGAATTTGTTTTACAGGCTCTTAGTCATCGTCCAATCGTTCACAACTAAGGAGCATCTGACTTTCATTATGTGATCAGCTGCTGAATCAACAGGAATCAAAACCTGCATAGTCTTGGGCCTCAGTAGCACACCGCTCTAGAGATCTCACTCACACGCGCGCGCACGCGCGCACGCGCGCGCGCGCGCGCGCACGCACACACGCACACACACACACACACACACACACACACACACACACACACACACACACACACACACACACACACACACACACACACACACACACACACACACACACGACTGTGACCTGGTTGTGCTGATTGATCGAGTTAGGCTGTGAGCATAAGCCTCGAGTGGCTGGTGTGAGAGGTGAATTTAGTTGGGGGGCTGACGGACGTGAAGAGAAAGGTATGAGGGAGGCCCGTCGTTGCGTGCGTGGCGATTTCTAAAAAATGGCATTCAACATGGCAAACGTTGCGGCAGTCACAACCACGGCGGTTAACGGCGGTTATTCAGTAGGAACAATGACCACATTGATTAAAGATGGTATTCTGCTGCTGTCCTCAGAATGATAACGCCCTGCAGGACGGTGAACAGGGTAAACGTTATATCCGATGAATACAACCATCTTTTCACAGCAGATGTATTTTAATAACATTAGTGATGGGCCGCACTCTACCTGACGGAGCTCCTGGTGTCGTGGTAGCTGGCTAACTGAGACACAATATTGACCTGAGCCGTCGCTAATGTTACCAATTTTCACCTGCACCGTGATGTCAAAATGTCTGCCGTGAGTACGCGGCCCCAATTAAAAATCAGGCTATCGCTAAAGATGATGCAGGAGAAAGCGGTGGGTGTGAAAGCTCTCTGTCAGAGATTTTTATATTCAGGTCCCACCCTGAGCCCCAGGCACCCGATTAACTATACATAAAGCTGAGTCACAGCGGTACCAGCAGGAAATACTCCCTGGCATGGCACAGTCGACACCTAAGCTGGGTGAACAATGTGAGTCAGTCAGCAGTGAGGCCTCTCGCTCTCCGACTGAGCTGCCAGCTCACAAACCACCTTCAAAAAGGAAGAAGAGGGGGTGGGAGGACCGATCTGACCTCTGGCCGAACCGCCGGCAGCCAGCACCAAACCCCCAGGAAGGGAAGAGGTTAATGAAAAGGCCCGAGTACTGCAGAATCAGGCAACGAATCACTTTAATCCCCTTTGCCCACGCCGCCGCTCCATACACCCCCTCGCTCTTGCTCAACTGGCGATCCCTGAGCTAGGATGCACCTGTGCCGGGGAGATAAGGCCCTCTGAGGGCCCCTCATTGTTCCACCCTCGGCTGCATTGTTTGTCATTCCAACAGATGAGAGCGGAGGCTGGAGTGGATCACGGCGGAAAAAGGCACAAGACTAACAAAAGGCGCTGAAAATCAGAAAATGGGTTATTCTGCTTCTGGTGGGTTCCAGTAAAACATGATGGTACCTACAAATCTCCCCTTAGTTGTTTTTTATTTGGCTAAAGTGAAATAGAATAATGTGCTCTTTGTCCTAGTGGGTAAAAAAATGTGCTCTCTGGCTTGTGTGAAGCTTCCTTTTGGTACTCGAGTTGGCACTTATTGATCACCGATAAACAAATTCTTGCAACAGGGACACGACCGACGGTTATCTTTCACCAGAGAGCAGAGTGCGAAAAGCACTAACCGATGACTTTCTGTATTAATCAGTAAAATGCCCATCAGTTTCCCCAGAGTGCAGTGTGTTCTACCAACAGATGACTTACTGTTTGTAATATGTTCTCGTTGGATCTCTACAGTTGTTTACTCTTAAAAAAAGGACTAATGATTAATTGATTATCACATAGTTGCCAGTTATCCTTTAATATTCCATCAAACACGATCATCCGCTTCCATAAAGAGCCATTAATGATGTCAAACCACCGGCTGTCATCTTGTTTCCGTCACAATGCCAGATGGTCGCCACACAGGACCCGTATCAACTTGATTAACGTACGGGTGCGAGCCATCACTCTTACCCTGATATCGTTGCGCCTGAGCTCCACGTCAGTGACCGCGTGGCCGTGGCTCGGGTGGCAGCGGGCGAAGCAGCAGTACTGGCACACGGCTGTCTGCTCGGCCTCGCAGTGGTACAGCCTGTACTCGTCGTGCTGCAGGCAGGTCCAGGCCTTCACCGCCTCCGCCTCCACCAGCAGGTGCCCGAGGGCCGAGCACGGCTGCTGCAGGTGAGTCTGGACGTGGGACTGGCAGCACGGGGCGTTGCAGCGCAGGCAGACCTTCACGGCGGGGAGCGGAGGGCCCCGGCGGCACAGGATGCACTGCAGCGCCGGCGCGGCGGGCTTCTCCACGCTCAGGGCGTTGTACTTCTCCACGATGTTGGACAGTTTGTGGTTCTTCTCCAGGCTGGGCTTCTGCGCGTAAGCGTGATTGCACTCGGGGCAGCGGGCCAGCGAGGACTCTTTGGCCCAGGCCTCGCTGATGCAGCCCCGGCAGAAGTTATGCTTGCAGGGCAGCTGGATGGGGTCTGAGAACACGTGCAGGCAGATGGGGCAGATGAGCTCCTCCTCGAAACAGTTCCTCCACGTCTCAGCCATGTCAGAGGCCATCATGGTGCGGGCAGGCATACACCGACGGTTTCCCACTTCTACCAGACCTTCAGGCCCCTCGGAGCTCGCAGGAAGCCCGGCTCTCAAAAAAGGTCACGGATTGTTATTTGTCTTTTTTTAAACCGCGATGACGTCCTGAAAGATCAGCCCGTATATTTTAACCCTTGCGACCAGACTAGAACGACACGACCGGTAACAAAATATTGCTTATTGCTACAGCATGAAGGCAAATTCCAGAATATTTGTCCGGAGAAGGCGTCGGGCAAGGATGACAACACAGTGGTGATTTCAACTCGCACAGCCGATTACAGTAAACGCTTTGCTTTCCTCTGAATCACACACACACACACACACACACACACACACACACACACACACACACACACACACACACACACACACACACACACACACACACACACAGGGCCTTCTGTATGTTTATAGGCCTACAGGAAGCTAAAAGCCTGTCAACTACGGGTAAACAGTGAAATGCAGGCAAGGCACAGAGAAGTTAAGCATCTACATGATGACCTTTATGATCACCGGGCGAATCCATCTCTGAGGAGCTCACAGACACCTGGTCCTTTTCTCTGCTGCTGCCTGCTGGGGCCTTTTTTCTTTCTTTTTACCTTGAGAGCTTCCTTCACTCCGAGGTCGGATTATAATGAACGTGGAACCAATTCAGGAGGAAAAAAAGTCCACACCCCTGATTACTATTCACACACACACACAGAAAAAGGAGCCTCAAACAGTTTGCATCCGGAGCTCAAGGACGCTTGATTCCGTCAATAATCTCAACGCAGCGCGGTGCTTTTGTCTGCCCAAATCATAAATAAAGTACCCGAGGAGCCTCCACCCGCGGTTTCATCGTGCGTGCGAGCGGCGACGGGTTTCGGGCCGGAGACGAGAACCGCTGCTCATCGAGTCGGATCCACTGACGCACGAAAAGCGGGTTAATCTAACGTGAAAAGCGGCTTCGCTGCCGGAGGAATAGCGCCGGCTATGTGGCACAGCTCGCATATCTGTACACAAGGCCTCGGCGTTTTTTCTCTCCCTTTTTCTTCTTCTTCCCCCCCCCCCCAACCCGGGTTTCTGTCGACAACAAAGGCTTTATAATCTCGCTAAAACACATAAAAGCATCGCGCCGGGGCCGTCGTTCTCGAGCCCGTTCACTGCATAGTTAATCGTCGGTAGAAGTCGCGTCCCGCTCCTGCGCACAAAACAAAGGCTTTTAAGGATCCGCAGGAATGTTGGCTTCCGTCGCGGAGGCTTTTCGGTCTCTCTCCCCCCCTCCTCTCCTCCTCCGACACATCGATCAAATATCTCCTCGGACAACGATTGGAAACACGACCCGGTCCAGGCTGGTGTCCACTTCGGCCTCCACCTTGTTCACCGTGTCCCCCCCTCAGCCTTTAGCCGACAACATATTTTTCTACTTCCTTATGCCGATTAAATTACCCCAGACGTCACCTCGCCGTTTTGTATCATTGCGCAGGTAAATAATCGGAAAAACAACGCACTATGTGTACCGGAGAGGACGGTTGATGTTCACTATGCTCATCGGTTATTTGAAGCGGCCATATTTTATATATTTAAACTAAACTAAGGAATACTAAAATAAAATCCCCCCCCCCTGGTCTTAAAGGGGACGTTGGGTTTCTGTCCTTGTTAGGGGGAGCTGTCATCAGCCATCTTGCAAATCCTCTTTAAAAAAAAAAGGAGATATCCGCCGTTTCACCGGAGCTGCTTTTCGGTGGCCGAGCTACACGGGCACGTTAACGGCAAAGTCCCGTCACTATTTTAGGAAGATAAAAAGCCGTTTTGTGTCGTTTTTTGTAGGTCCAAACCGTAGCGGGGTTGACGCTGGGTGTTTGTTCGTGGCCTTCCCCGGTCGATGAGTCCGCGGAGTCGGCTGCTTCTTTACAATCCAACACGGTGGAGAGTAATAATCGGTGTTTTCTCCCCCCCTCCCCTTCTTGTCTCTGTCCCTATCGGTCAGGCATTAGCGAGAGGAGGAATGCAGGCGAGCTGGACTGCACTCACGAACCAGCGTCAAGACATCCGGGGAGGCAAACCGTTTCCGTTGAAGCTTTTCAAAATAAAACGACGTTTGAGGGCTAGATGTGAGGTCCGAGTTAAGGTATTTTTTTATTCGTACATTTTATGGTTTGAATACACAGTGTTCAGTGGTGATGTAATATTCAGAAAGTATATCACTGAAGTACTGTACTTATGAAGAAATCAGAGGTAGTGCTACAACTAAAAAAATGTGAATAAGCTATTAGCAGTGGTGGCGGGTGGGAAATATTCTAGGTAGGGCAATTCTATAAATGTCAGTGAACATCCCAGGATGATTGAATGCAAAAGTACACACATTTTTTAAATTTAATCAGCAATTGGCTAAAGACAGGACGTGCCTGTAGGAAAAGTATATATTCTGTGCAGATCTATATATTTTACAAATGTTACTCAGTACATTCCATATTTCAAAAACACAAATACTGACATTTTATATAATTTAATATTGGCTTTTCTTTTCCTTTTTTGGGCTCACGGAGGGCCACTCCAGGTGGGGCGACGCCCCATTTCCACCTTCAGTGAATATTAGTATTTTTATTTCATGCAACTTGACACTTTTGAGATTACAGTTTTTCATCCCCTTCTTGTCCAGTAAAAAAACATGAATCGCCTAAAGTGATGATTTTGAGTGGTTGTGAATAACTTTTTTACTTTTTCTAATTAAAAGCTTCCTAATGATTGCATCACCACAAAGCTGAAAACAGGGCTGTATTTCACTGCTTTCATAGATTCAACAAACATACGCGATGAGACAATTGTAGACATATATATTAAAATATGATACATTAAACACATGATACAAAACGATCTGGTTTAATATATTCATGGGAGAAAATTTAGGAGGCTGGAATTCAGGACACAGGAGTTGTTCATTAGTTTGTATTATACAAACATTAATGGCCAACATTTAACATTTAGTCAACACCCCTGAGCAAAATGTGATGATAATGCACCCGGATGACAACTGCTGTGAAAAATTCAGAAAATAAGATTATTGACGGTACTTTGGTGAGTTGTATGCACATTTTCAAACACCACAGTGAGCTGGGAATTTATGTAAATGCCTTCACATTTACAGTTTCTCTCAATCGCTTAAGCACGATTTTGATGGTTTTGTTTTGTTTTTCAAAACAGTACAAACAATTAGCACACTCACAAACTCAATTTCACTATCAGTACTTTGGAATTGCAAATAAGTGACATATTGATATACTTCTGTGTGTAATGTATACAAGTTGCAAAATGAAATAGTCTTGTAAAAACTACACTTATTTATCAAAAACATATTTTGTTAGCATATTACACACATACGTTGCATATGACTTAATTCTGTTTGTATCAGATACACACTGCAATTCTACTTCTCGGTTATTAGAGTAGTGTAAGTGAAGTACACAGAGAAAGTGCAAAACTTTGCCCACATTTGCATAACTATAAGCACAATGTCTGCTCACACTTTTTGCAAAACAATACACACAGTGATTTGTAAAACACTAAAGATACTAAAGACACCACACAAGATCCAATGCTGCAGACTGATGAAAATATAGTTTATTTTTCTCCATAAACTCAAATGAGTCAACATGTCAACATGGAGATTCACAACAAGAAACAAGTTGTCTCTTCGTCTAGCTTGATCTGGCCTCCTCCTCTGGGAATTCCCCTCTCACCGGTTGAAGATCGATGAACTCATGTGCTGCCTGGTATAGTGCTTAAAACGGATTATGTGTGGCAATTTGAACAGCAGTGCTTTGGAATTGCAAATAAGTGGCATCTTGATATACTTCTGTGTGTAATGTATGCATGTGTGTTGAGTGTTTTGCAAATCACTGTATGTATTGTACAGTGTGAGGCTGACATTGTGCTTATAGTGGTGCAAATCTCGGCCGAGTTTTGCTCCTTGAGTGTACGGTTTGGATAATTGTGTGATACTTTTTATTTTAGGGTATATTCAATCATAAACAACTGGAAGTCTATATTATATATGTACATTAACGTCTTTGTGAACAGGCATCTTTTTTAATAGTTTTTAATGTACAAACAAGTAATTAAATAAATGCACTGGCCATAGAAGTAGGCATAGGTAACAGTTTGCGTTTTGTAATTTGATATGATTACTTGTAGACCTTTTAGGGACCTTCTCCAGCTGTAAGGCTTCCCCTCCACTGAATTCTCTTAATGCTCTGCTTCAAACATTATGTAGCAACAAAAATACTCTCTCCATCAACTATAGCTGTGATCTGTTTGTGCTGAGGACGGGGTTCAACAGAACTTTTTGGCTGAAAACCGATGCCTGCTGCAGATGAAAATAGGGTTCATGAGTACAGTGAAATTGGGAGTGAACCGTGCATGGTGTCACATGGCATCAAAACATGGAGCTAAAAGAGGCTGAAAAAGATGCACAGAGCTGCGGATTTGGATTATAATACATCACACCGTCGTTTTGTAATGGTATTTATTTTTTAGGAAAACTAGTTTATTTATGTCTCAACACAAAGGGTTTCCATTAACGCCACAATATTTGAGCTTTGTTCTGAAGCTGAACTACCGAGCTTCCGGTATGAATCAGGCTGTTTTCGGATGACCTGACGCCGTTTCTCGGCAACATCAGCCGCCCCCTCCCTCCTTCCCTCCTTTCCTTCTTCCTTCCCTCCTTCCGGATCAATGCTACCGTCACGTGACCTGTCACAGGACTGACGTGTGTCACGTTTCAACCGGGAGGAGCTGTGGGACGAACCGGGGAGGAGCGGAATCACACTCAGGTTTGCTGCATGTGTTGACGGCCCGGATGCTCACGATGCCGCTCGGAGACAGCGTTGCGTGTGTGCGCGTTACTGCAAGTGCATGAATACGTTTTGCAGGGAAATGTAACTATTGCACTGTGTGGACACACATTTAAATCAATAAATGTCACTTAAACAAATAACATAATAAACAATATGACTTTTCATTCTGGAGGAGTATTCAAATATTTAATTATGTATATCATTATATATGATCAAAGGGCGGCACGGTGGCGTGGTGGTTAGCACCGTCGCCTCACAGCAAGAAGGTCCTGGGTTCGATTCCGCCCAGTGGCCTTTCTGTGTGGAGTCTGCATGTTCTCCCCGTGTCTGTGTGGGTTCTCTCTGGGTTCTCCGGCTTCCTCCCACAGTCCAAAGACATGCTCTGGGGATCAGGTTAATTGGGGACTTTAAATTGCCCGTAGATGTGTGAATGTGAGTGTGAATGGTTGTATGTCTCTGTGTTGCGACCAATCCACGATGTACCCTGTCTATCGCCCGAAGTTGGCTGGGATGGACTCCAGCCCCCCCGCGACCCTGTGTGCAGGATAAGCGGTTTGACGATGGATGGATGGATTATATATGATCAGCATCATAGGCACGTAAGCAGAAATATACTTTTACTCAAGTACTCCTTAGGTACATTTATACTCTTCTCTCTTATAGTTTTTACTTCAATACACAAATATTTTTATTTTTACTCCACTGCATTTATTTTAATTTGGTTGCTTTTCAAATTTAGATATATAATACAAACAATAAATACATAGAAAAATAAAGTTTATAAAATCATCAAAAGAAATGTGTTAATTCCTCTTAAAAGAAGTAAACTAAATAAATTATCCAGCTGAAAATGAAGTCACTGGCTTATAATTGCATCTCTTATAATAAAACAACAATATACAAATTATTCTGCATCATTAGTCCTTAACTTTTTGATTTTGATGTGAGTATTTTTATACTCTGGTATTGCTACTTTTATTAGTAACAAGACTATACTGTTCAATAAATGAATACTTCTTCTACCATGTAAAAATGTATACACATATTATATATGCACATACACAGGACTTGCTTTGATACATACTTATGATGAGATTTTAAAGTCATTAAGAACATTGTACTTTTCACCACTGAGACAAACATACCAATGAGAGGATTATCTCTGACCACATGTTGATTGAACTATAATAGAGTAGTGTGTGGGGGCGACGGTGGCTTTATTGTACAACATGCGCATCTCACGTGACGGGAAGCCGATCGGGTTACGCTGTTGTTGACCACCTGCACAGACATATTTAGGAAACCGTCTGAGGGAAGAGGCACATCACACAGACAAAACTGATTACCAGCGAAACCACTTTAAGTGACGGTTTGATGTCGGTCTCACGTGTCCAACATCTGAAATCACATCATGTGCAAATAACAACACGCTGATACACAATACCACAATTGATTTTAATTAAAAAACAGCATTACACGTTTACTTAAGGTTGGTTAGTGAGCCGCGCTACGGCGCAATGCATGATGGGAGTCCGGTCGCTGACACATTTAATTATTTCCCTTCTGTCTATTATTTTCGTTGATTTATAACCAGAACATGACTTTACAATGAAACACACAAACAAACGGGCATGTTAATTACTTTCAGGTTTTCTATTATTTTTCAATCGTTCTTTTGGCGAGGAATAAGGAGGTAAATGTGAAGTGTTTGAACTGTTAAACAAGAATAAAACACATTTAACTTCAGGATGCAACGCTGTCCCAAACAAACAGGCAGTAGTTGAGTCTCCTTGCGAGAATAATTCATAGTAACACAATTCTTTCCCTTTGTTTCAAGTTGGAAAGTAAGTGATGGGCTGGGAGTACAGCATTTCATTTGTCACAACCCGGCTCATGGAAGGTGACAAACAAGGGAGTCCACACGTTGACTTAAAGAAATAACAAAGGTTTTATTCAAAAACTAACAAAGTATGAATTTACAACGGAAAATAAACTGGTGAAGTGTGAAAGTAGGCATGTGAGGGGTGTAGTGGAAATGCATGGATGCATATAAGAAGTGTAGGTGTTGAGAGGTGTAGTTAAACAAAACGCATACTCTGACAAAGACTGAATCAAAATGGTGCTGGTAGATAGAGAGAGAGAGAGAGCGAGCGAGCAGGCTGGGCATCAGGAACTTTAACACCTGGCTAGCTCCACCCACAGGTGCAACCTGTCACCTTAACGCGTCTCCGCCAGCTCCACCCGTCTCCAATCTGCAAACAAGAACATAGAGAAGGAGACAGGGGGGCCAGAGGGCCGTAACACATTGTACAGCATTTCATTGTCGTTTGAGTTCCAGTTTTTCTTTGACCATTGTGTTTGTTCTCTATGGGTGCACAATACATTTATATGCAATGTATATGTATTTAAAATAATCCCACACAGCAGACAATGTATGGAGTCAGATCAGATGCTACAGTTGAACGTATATATTCACATCGGTTGCATATTTATTGCACATCAACGACTCCCTGTGGCAGAAGATTAACTTTCCCTGTATGCACAACCCTAAAATCAGAAATAACTTTAAAAAAAATCATATTATGACAGACGAAAATTAAACCAGAAATAACAAATATATGTTTAATTGTAAGTCTTGATCCACTGTACTGAGATTCAGATTAGTTCTATAACTTCAAGTAAGGAGATATTGCTTATTCCCTCAAAAGTCATAGTTCTACTTCTATGATTGACTGAACAAAGACTTTATCAGATGATCCAGTATTACTTCAATCCCTACTGGGGTGCAGCCTCATTCAGTTGGAGAGATGACACAAAGGTATTTAGTGTCAATTGGATACTATTAGAGTTTAGTAATGAATTGAATGAACTATTGCAAATAAATATTACATTCATGTTATATAATAATATCTTGACAATAACAAAAACATCTATTATTATTATTACTAACCAAAAGTGTGACATTACTTATTTTTGGGATATAGTTTAGGGCAAATACACTTCTTGGTTCATTTGATCAATGTTTGTCTTTCCCTTCTTCCTTCTTCCAAATCTATTCATCAGCACTGATTTTGATCTTTTTTTGAATGACTCAGCAAACCGAGAAACTGAATTTTCTCATTGTTTTAATTGTGAATGGCACAGAGAGGCAGTAAATGAGTAAAGCATTGTGTGACTTGAGTCTTTTGGAGAAAACACCAGAAAACAATAGGAGATGGGCTGCTGACGTATAAAAACAGGGAAAGGTTACACAATGTCTTTGTGAACACAAATACCCACACCCACCCACACCCAAACACACCACCACCCACCACTTCCATTGGCACATCTGGCAGCTGTGCTTAGGGCATTCATCTCTGTCGGCTGACATCATTTGTTCCTGTCAGTGCTTCGGTGTGGTGCTCGGCGAATTCTTCCCTGTTTTGGTTCTCTGATACAACTTTAGTATTTTGCTGTCATGTAGTTTTTTCCACAGCCTCTTTTCCATGTGATAGTCATGGTTGGCGTAAAAAATTACTTTTGTTTTAATATCCCTTTCACAGTAGTAGTTAGAGTATTTTGCGTAGTCCTCTGTCATGAATCCATACGCACTCACCTGCCAAAGTCAGAAAGGAAAACAGTGACGATTGAGACAGAAAATTTACAGCTAATAAAGATTTGTTTGAAGAAAAGTTTGACATGAAATCGTTAATCCAATTTGTAGAGGGAAGTTGGATGAGAAGATGGACCACTCTCTTATTCTGTGTGAAACATTGGAAGCTACAACCTATGGTTAGCTTAGCTTAGCATAATGACCGTAAACAAAAGAAAACTGTCTCTGTCTGTACGTGATCCTCCAATTAGCGCCGCAAAGCTGATAAATTAACATGTTGTATTTTTTAAAGATGAGGTGTAAAACCATAATGAGTGTTTTCAACCGATTTCTACTTGGACTATGTTGTGTAATTCACAAAATACGTTTTCTCTGTGTAACGTATCGTGAATACAAAACTGAACACAGATAATGCAGCAGAAAAAAATGTTGAAAAGCAGGAACATCGATCCATGACCTGATTAAATTACACGTTAGAGGTGTGGATGATTACAATGTCAATGACCTGTGTGGGCAAGTAATATTAACTTACAGTGTCACAGGTATGCAGAGCGAGGAAGAGAGTGAATGCCCCATTGGTTGGTCTGACAATTACCCAATGTGAAGAATTCAGACGAGGAGACATTAAGAACCTTTGGACAATGAAAAGTGTTAAATACACATTCTTGAAATAATCTAGACAAGCTACATCCTTTAAATAGAACATTAAACGTGTCTGCATGAAAATTACTTTTAACAAAAGCAGTATTATCATTGCTGTATAAAAACACAAAACGTCAAATGTTTGTGTAGTATTGTGAGAGGAGGGTGACCTGTTTTGAACGTATCTGAGGAAATCCTGGTGCAGAACGTAGAAGCGGCTCTCATTGTATTGTCCACCATAGTATGTCCAGGGCCTGTAGGGTTGAAGTACAAAATCAAGAGCTAAACACATAAAGGATTATTCGTTTTCAGTTATCTTTTTAATTCATCATTTAAATGCTAAATTCAATAATGAATGTATCAAACACCACGACACTACGCTATGACTATTGCAGTGACACTTCTATACAACATGCTACATTCAGTGTTTCACAAACTCCTCTCGTGAGTTTTGTTTTTGGAATGTAAAGTATTTTTTTATTTTGAATTCACAAGCTACAAAGGAACAAGTTGACGGGACTTGTGACCTCCACAAAATGTACTGAATGACGCCTGCTTGTCTTTCACAACAAATGTAGTACTCATGAGTAGAGAGACGCATTGACAGAGCAAAGCTCAACGTGAGAAGATCAAAAAGCCGCTGTTGAATTTACGTTTTGTATTCTGAGAAGTGCTTCAGAAGCTTTCACGGGTTGAAGGAGGCGCAGGAGCCCATAAAGGAGGGCTTTCAACACCGTGAAGTGAAATGTATTTCTAGCCAAACACTTACTATGTTTACGGGATCAATCTGATTATTAGTTTGATTTACACTGGGGTTTCCTACTGGACCTGATGTTAGCGATTATTTAGTCGATGTATTTGTGTACCAACACTTCTTGAGATATGATTTCATCGCAATGCAATTCCTTTGGAAGCTGATTCATTATTCTAATGAATAAGGCCAGCGTCATGTAGCAACACGTTGTCAGGTCCAATCCAAGTCATTTAAGCCCTGGCTGTGGTTTTGTGTTTGTGTGTGCATGTTGTCCCTCGTCAAATTAGAAATATAAAGAGTTGATATTCACCTGGTGTTATTAGATGTCTGAGTCTTGATTCTTTTATGTTTGAAAAGACCCTCCATCCAATTGAAATCCCCCATCCCCTCAGGTATCATTACATATTTTATACCCTGCCAAAAGGACGGCAGAGCAGTGTTCATGCGTGGGATATAAAGCAATACGATATCACATGTTTTAATGGAATTTGACTACCTCATCCTTAGGGGCGGTTGTGTATCCGTACTTCTGGAACACAAGCGGCGAAGTAGTGATTGAGTGGGAAGTGTGAACGTACACCGATGTCTTGTTTCCTACGTCTTCCTCAAAGCCTTTGATGACGGCACCGTTCATCCTGCCGCACAGACACAAAACTATATTTTCTTTACTTGAGAAATATGAACAAATATTACCTGAATTTAGAATATTAATTGAACGCTACTGTGGTTGGCAGTGCTGTCAGATTACCCACGTAGAAAAATATACGTTGAAAAGAATATTTTCAAAGGGAATTATTAATGGCATACAGTACATGACAATGACTTCATTGCTGTGAATGCAACATGTAGTGGGTGCAAAGACATGTAAGTGGTTGCTTAACAAAACGCCATCTCAGGACATCTGCTTATGAGTGAGAAAGCCTCAGTGAAGAAATGTTTCTTTGTTATCGTAGAGTCTCCTAAGTCAGTGGTCCCCAAGCACCGGGCCGCCGACCAGTACCGGGACACTTGTCTCGGTCATGTGATAATTAGAATTAAGTCCAAAAGTTATAGAAAATGAGCAAAAGACCGACACCTTTAGAGAGCTTCTTTGGAAAGGGGAAAAGGCTCCTGAGGAGACAGAAGAAGAGCAACTGTAAAAAATGATTTGAACAATAAGTCATAGTAACATCTTTTTGTTATTTACTTCAACTTATTATGATGACTTATACAATTACAACTTAGTTGTATAAGTTTTCTGTCCTACAACTCAGGTTTTTAAGCCAGTTCAACAAATTGTAAATTTCAACAAGTTTAATGAACTGAATACTTGAGTTGACTTTCCAACAGTCAAAAGGAAATTCCAATAACTGCAGTTCCTCAAACGGACACTTTTAAACAATCCAGAGCTACTGTAAAGTAAACAAAACATGAGTTGTACCAAATTGTAAATCCAGTTTGACTCTACTCAAAACTGCAAGGTAACAATTAAACTTATGTTTTTAAGTTGAACCTCTTTGACTTTTTTTTACAGTGTGCAACTTCAATAAAAAAAATAATTCAAAAGAACAAGCATGAGTCATACTTACAAAAAACAGGTTCATAGCATTGGGTAATTGTCCTAGGGCTCGAAAGGTTGCTTGGCATTATAGGAATAGGTTCATTGCCAACGCATCTTTTTTTTCTTTGTTGTGTTTAACAGTCACACCTTAAAAAACAGTCTGCCAAATATTTCCTCCTCCTAATTGATCTACCAAGAAGTTTGTGCCACGTCATTAACCGAAACTCAGGCACAATACATTTTGCAATACTTAAGTCTGTGCCGTGAATTATTTTACAGATATTTTTGTTGAATTGTTATGAAGACCTCCAATAGAGGGACATCACTAAAATCTAGGTAAAAACGGAAGATACTTATTTTATTGTCAATTTTTACAGCGTCCAACACGCTTTTTAAGCATCCTAGCAAATTTACATTTCATTTATGATGCAAATGGAAAATCAATATTGGCAGATAAAGAAAACCGACAGCAGCACATTTGTGCATATTAAAGAAATTGTTGGAAAAACTGCAATGTTTCACCTCAGACGACAGAAAGCCTGAGCTCTTTCACACAGAGCTAGAGCACATTGTGTTCTGGGTCAGTGAGATGCTTATGAGTCAACGTCCAGCCTCCGATTACAGCACTTGGGTTAGCCTTGAAGCGTGTATGTGTCCAATTCTCCTGCTTTGCAAGTATTATTTAATATATGTCCTGTTTAATGATTTTACACCAGTGTCGAGTAAGAATTTTGAGTGATCAAATGAACTTGAATATTTTTTTTTGTAAAAAGTTGATAGAATGATACCTCTTCTGAACATTAAATATGAGGATACGGCCGGAAGTTAGAATCGCTTAGCATAGGATAAAGACTGGAAACTTACAGCATCAGTTTCCTTGTTTTCTCTCAACATACTTACGAGTGTATGAGCTCCTTCACATCATTGCAAAGCAAATAGAAAACAGCTATTCTTTTTTTTTTCTTTTTTCAGAGGTGCATCCTCATTGATGTGCAGTGAACAAACTACACTGCTGTACACTATGCACTCGCATGATAATACAGAGCAGTGAAGAAGATAAAAACACAACTTACACGAATTGAGCAATCAGAAAAGGTTTCAGAAATGTGACGAAACGTTGTTTTACAGGAAGGTGAGAAGAAGTCAACATACGGTTTGAATGCACAAAGCAATGGATCCCGGCCATGACTTATGACTTGCATTGATTTGGGCTCCTAAATGAAAGGGTTTGATGATCATTCGTCAAATAGCTTTAGACCTCGTTTTAATCGGGGCCTAAGAAACTAAATCAAAGGCTTTCTTACCGAAAAACGTAATCGTGAGCATCAATTTCTTTCCCCAATTTAGAGCCATATAGGATTCCTGATGTGCCCACCACAGCACAGCGCAAACATCCGTCACTGCCCGTCCGTGGAAGCAGCAGTGGCTCTTTTGGCTTTGGGATCAACTTCACTGTAGGCATCACCTCTGCAAAATAACCCAAAAACATTTTAAATACATTTAAATATGCAAAGTATTCACAACAAGTATATTTTCTGCAAGCAAAAACAGAAAAGCATATTGTTGATGGGTGAGGGTGGTTACTCATTGCTAAGCTGTCCACCTCATGTTTATTTAATCATTAGTAACATTCATATTTGAAAACCCACCGCACACCAGCATCGAGGAATTAGACACTGGCTGGTGAACACAATGGATCATTCATGTCCTTTTATCAGGAGTAAGGGACCAAAACAAAGCTGTAAGTGAAGGAATGTTGTTGGACAGGATCTGACATCCAAACATTAGTGTTTATGAGTGTTATGATAAAACATGAGTAGTCGTTGTTTAATGATGGAATTGGCACGGTGGAGGATTTCCAGTGCAACCTGAAAGGTGGAATTACAGCTGAACTTTAAATGTTGATTAATCCCCGTGGGGAAATCCTTCAGTGTGCCACAACATATCCTTATTTCTTCAGGCCATTGGTTTGTGATTCGCATGGTTGAGGCAATGACTTTAAAAGTCCCACAAGATTTTACTAAATGTACAGACAATATCCACACTCATGCATCCCACATGGACACATATTAACACGTACCATCATATTTAATCTCCATGAAACCAAAAGGATTGTTGAAGTGCGACAGCCGGTTCCACTCGCTCATGTTCATTTTGTCCATAAACAAACGAATGTTTGGGAGGAAATTCTTCTTGAAGTCTTTATCTTCAGAGTTTTGCAGAGACTGGGCACACGTCTGACAATGTTGGATAAAATGTGACACGATGAAACAAATAAACATCAATTTCAACACTCAAGAAATTCAAAAAACAGAAATGTGTGTTGTAAAACATTAAGAGAAAAGCGAAGGTAAAACGCATACAGCTCACACCAAATACACCAAACTGAACACAAAGCTGTGCGGATTACCCCGCCGCCAGTAAAGTGAATACATGTCTTTATGTATGCCGCAGCATGCTTACTGTCTGCCTGCGTGGAGCGTCCTGGTTATAAATATCCTCGAAATCAAAGCGCGGAAGCTTCTTGAAGTCTTTTCTGAAGAGGACAGGTACGGGAGTCTCCGGAGCGCGCGGCGGTTTGTTCACTCTCACTGTCGATTTTGGGGATTCGGCTTGTTTTGTGGGATCCGTTAACACAAAGTTTGAGGCAAGCAAGTTTTCCTTTTGCACCCATAGCTCAGCTATTTCCTCAGGTCCTTCTGAGATTGGGTCTGAGAAAGTATTCCAACTAATGTGGAAAGAACCACAGATAACAAAATGTAGAAGAATGAGCACGACGCCAATTTAAGATAATTATTTTACTCCGCCTGGAAATGACACATTTATTGGGACAACAATAAACTACTTAACTAACAAATACGAGATAAAATACCCTCCTTCACCATAAGTCGTTATAAATACAACTCACCTGCTGCTCGATAAATTTGTCGATGACAAAACAAAAATTACAACGCAAGTTAAGATCAAAATCACCAAAAAGGAAACCCGGTAGATTCCCATTTCAACCAGCACTGGAGGACGTAACGTTGGACAGAATACCGACTGGTTTTGCTTTGCAGACAGTAATGTACTTCATAGTTCATACGGACTACTGGGCAGGGCTACAGCACCTTCAACAAAAACCATCCACACACCTTCCAGCAGCATGTTACACAATGGGGGCTGAACCAGAACACACCTTTTGTGTTATTGATTTAAATTGAATGAACAATAATTAATTATGTTATTTAATATTGAATCACATGTTATATTTAAGTAAGATTTTAAGGTAATGCTATTTTATACTAACAAATATTGTATTTGCATATGGTGGATAAAAAAATCATGGGCATATGGAACTGGATGATGATTGATTGAAACGGCAAACATACAATTCAGACAAAGTACATATTGACACACAAATATGTGAATATCTGGTGGCTGGACTGTACATCTTTTTTACATTTGAGTTTATTCAAGCGCTTTGTGTGCCCGGGTGGTCCTCCAGTAAAGAAGAATCCTCAGAAGGGGAATCTCAAATTTGAATCTAAAGTTTGTTGAAACAGTTTACAGGCCTGCTGAGATGTGATTTTAATATTAAATACCTCGCAGCAAAGACCAGGAACTTTCCCATTGTGTTCATCTTACCACAAAAGTGGTTGTTTTTCCAAGCACCAGAATACTCTTACTTGTTTCCGCAGCAGGGTGTGACCAGTCTGCCCCGCTCAGTCCTGGTTCTGGTTCTCTCAGGGCCAGCAGTACGGCCCCGTGGCCCGCAGCAGCAAAGGGAAGCTCTGCTCCTTTACAGAGGAGGAGGGCTCGCTCTCTGCAGGGTCCCGAGCCCGTGAGAGTTGGCAGCCTGTAGCTTTGTTGGCTAGCTTGACAACAACAGTCAAACATCAAGCAAGTGCAACACAAGACAAAGCAAGACGGGAAATAAGTTACTGAATAGTCCAGCAGAAATATATACATGCAAAATAACCTACAATTTCCGTCATGTGGGCCTTTATGACCATGAGGTCAGAATGCACACAAAATAGTACCAAATAATACATACTTGATGCAATAGGCTACATCCTGGTGGAGCCTGAGGGTGGATCTTCACCTAATTCTTTATTTTTAGTTAAGGAAAAATAATTATTCCATGAATTAAGAAATATGAATGTGAGAATATCAAACTCTACATGCAAGTAAATGAAGCAATGTTTATCCCACAGACAGTCAAACAAACGCCAGGTAAAAAAGGGAACCTTACAGATGTTTTATTTATTACTATCCTAGATAAATATTCCAGTATCCTATTTGTGGTATCGTATCGTAAGTATCGAGTACCGTAATATGGCAGGTGTAGTATCGAAGTCATAATTTTGGTATTGTGACAACCCTATTATGGAGGCCTTATTGCTATGCTATCATGTTAGCCGCTCACTCAGTCTTTTGTATCCCCTCAACATTTTCCTGTCCAATGAATCTTATATTAGCTTCTTCAAGTTGTGTTGTTGTTGCTTAATATTCTACTCCCTCCGTCAACTAGTTGATAGCTGGGATTGTCCGTTTGTGCTGAGGACGGGATTCAACAGAGCTTTTTTGCTAAAAACCGATCCCTGCTATAGATGAAAATAAGTGTAAATAACCCCATAGACCTTTCGGAAAAGGAATGACTTTTATTTTGAAAGCCAAAAGGGGAATGTTTATATGCGAATGTGTAGGATCTTGTTACGGACAGATGCGAATTTATTCTTGAAATTGTAGCAGTTTAATGGACCCGTATGAAAAAGGCCAAAAGGCGCTTACGGTGGAGTTTAATAAGGTTGTTTTGACGGAAGGAAGAAAATAAAGCATTCATTTCACCAGCAGTAAGTTGCACGTCTTATCATATACGTCAAACCACGTCATACATCACACAGTCATTTTATTCCGTTTAGTAATGATATTTATTATTTTATTATTTTTAGGAAAACAATGGTTTCTTTTTGTCTCAACACAGAGGGTTTGCATTAACACCACAATATTTGAGCTTTATTCTGAAGCTGAACTACCCAGCTTCCGGTATGAATCAGGCTGTTATCGGATGACCTGACGCAGTCCGTCAGATGCTATCGTCACGTTGCGTGTGTGCGCGTTACTGCAAGTGCATGCCGATAAAGAGATTGCAGTTAGGCTAATTGGTGTACTTTTCACCATTCAAGCAACTACAACAATGGGAGGATTGTCACGCACTGAGTGTGTAAGGTAGTGACGTCACAGATTGACGTTGCTTCGCGGTTCATTATGTGACAATTTCGGCTCTCGCTGTGATATCTCATGGATTTTATTTAACACGATAAGGAAGCTCCGCTTGCGCAGAGCATCAAAAAATTGAGTTATACTCTTGTTGGTCCTCTCCACGGAAATCTTTAGTAAAAGGCGAAAGATTTATGCGATCTGAAAAGAACCAAGAGTGATCTGACTGACCGACGCTCCCACAGACAAGAGTCATTCCCAGCGAAGCCACTTTGAGCGACGGTTTGACGTCGGACTCACGTGTCCAACATCTGAAGTCACACCATGTGCAAATAACGACACGCGGATACACAATAGCACGATTAATTTGAATTAATAAAACAACATTACACGTTTACTTAAGGTTGGTTGGTGAGCCGTGCTATGGCGCAATGCATGATGGGATGACACATTTAAGTATTTCCCTTCTGTCTCGTATTTTCGTTGATTTAAACCCTAAACACGACTTTACAATCAAACACACAACCAAACCGGCATGTTGTTTACTTTCAGCCTTTACACGTATTTGTATTAATAGTTTCCAGGACCCGCCCCCTTCACGCACACAGACACACGCAGCTGGTGTCTTTGGAGGAGGAATACGGAGTATAAATGGTAGTGTTGAAACCGTTTAAACAATAAGATTCTCGTGGAGGAAAACATATTTAACTTCACGATGCAACAAACGAGCAGTAGTCGAGTCTCCTTGCGAGAATATGGACTCATGCAGATCATGTGACAAAGGAAACATATTATGAGGTTTCTTTGCCTTTGACTCAAGTTGGGAAGTAAGGGAGTACAGCATTTTCTTTGCTTTACAGTTGCAAATGCAAAGGGTTTGTATTTAAAATAATCTCACACAACAATGCGTGGAGTCAGATGCTACAGTTGAAAGTATAAATTCACATCGGTTGCAGATTTATTGCAGAACAACGACGCCGTGTGGCAGAAGTTGAACTTTCCCTGTATGCGCGAGTTATAGTTCTATAACTTCAAGTAAGGAGATATTGCTCATTCCCTCAAAAGTCATAGTTCTACTTCTATGATTGACTGAACAAAGACTTTATCAGATGATCTAGTGTAATTCAATCCCAACTGGGGTGCAGCCTCATTCAGTTGGAGAGATGACACAAAGGTATTTAGTGTCAACTGGATACAATTAGAGTTTAGTAATGAATTTAATGAACTATTGCAAATAAATATTACATTCATGTTATATAACAACAACATCTTGACAATAACAAAAACATCTATTATTATTATTACTAAGCAAAAGTGTGACATTACTTATTATTGGGATATAGTTTAGAGCAAATACACTTCTTGGTTCATTTGATCAATGGGTCATTGTCTTTCCCTTCTTCCTTCTTCCAAATCTATTCATCAGCACTGATTTTGATCTGTTTTTTGAATGACTCAGCAAAGAATGAGACTTAATTTAAAACAAAGTCATTGCTAGAAACAACAGCAGCAAACATTTGCTGGGCTGCTGACGTATAACAACGGGGAGAGGTTACACAATGTCTTTAAATATTGGTGGGACATTCTAAAGTTCCCACACTGTACCTGAGGGCTTTGTGCACACAAATACCCACACACACCCACACACACCCCTTCCATTGGCACATCTGGCAGCTGTGCTTAGGGCATTCATCTGTCGGCTGACATCATTTGTTCCCGTCAGTGCTTCGGTGTGGTGCTCGGCGAATTCTTCCCTGTTTCGGTTCTCTGATACAACTTCAGGATTTTGCTGTCATGTAGTTTTTTCCACAGCCTCTTTTCCATGCGATAGTCATGGTTGGCGTAAAAAATTACTTTTGTAATTGAGTATTTTGCGTAGTCCTCTGTCATGAATCCATACGCACTCACCCGCCAAAGTCAGAAATGAAAACTGCGACGATTGAGACAGAAAATTTACAGCTAATAAAGATTTGTTTGAAGAAAAGTTTGACATGAAAACGTTAATCCAATTTGTAGAGGGAAGTTGGATGAGAAGATGGACCACTCTCTTATTCTGTGTGAAACATTGGAAGCTACAACCTATGGTTAGCTTAGCATAGCATAATGACCGTAAACAAAAGAAAACTGTCTCCTCTATGTGATCCTCCAATTAGTGCCGCAAAACTGATAAATTAACATGTCGTATTTTTTAAAGATGAGGTGTAAAACCATAATGTGCGTTTTCAATGGATTTTTACTTGGACTATGTTGTGTAATTCACAAAACCCTTTTTCTCTGTGTAACGTATCGTGAATACAAAACCGAACACAGATAATGCAGCAGAAAAAAAAATGTTAGAGGTGTGGATGATTACAATGTCAATGACCTGTGTGGGCAAGTAATATTAACTTACAGTGTCACAGGTATGCAGAGCGAGGAAGAGAGTGAATGCCCCATTGGTTGGTCTGACAATTACCCAATGTGAAGAATTCAGACGAGGAGACATTAAGAACCTTTGGACAATGAAAAGTGTTAAATACACATACTTGAAATAATCTAGACAAGCTACAGCCTTTAAATAGAACATTAAACGTGTGTTAGCAAACATTTCACATATTATCATTGTTTAATGGTCTTTCATCCTGTTTTATAAAGCATGTCCAGGGCCTGTAGGGTTGAAGTACAAAATCAAGAGCTAAACACATAATGGATTATTCATTTTCAGTTATCTTTTTAATTCATCATTTAAATGCTAAATTCAATAATAAATGTATTAAACATTGAGTTTAAGTGTTTAAGTTTAAGAGCATTGAGTGTGAACGTACACCGATGTCTTGTTTCCTACGTCTTCCTCAAAGCCTTTGATGACGGCACCGTTTATCCTGTCGCACAGACACGCAGAAGAAACTTTTCTTTGTTATCAGAGAGTCTCCTAAGTCAGTGGTCCCCAAGCTCCGGGCCGCGGACCAGTACCGGGACACTTGTCTCGGTCATGTGATAATTCTAATTAAGTCCACAAGCAAAAACACCTTTGAAGAGCTTCTTTGGAAAGGGGAAAATAGGAGACAGAAGAAGAGCCTACAACTTAAAACAACAACAAAAGAAAGCTTCAAAGAACAGGCACGAGTCATACTTAAAAAACGGGTTCATAGCGGTAATTCTCATCCGCCACGGTCGCTGCCGTTATATGAAGCTTAGGCGAAAATTCAGTCAGGAAGACTGGACAGGCTGTGCCGTTCCCTGGCGGCCTCCTCTCTCCCTGGGGGCGCACGGCCAGCTGATTAGGGGCGGGGTCGGGTAGTATCAGACGTGGGTGTCGTTACCGTAAACCAATCGCATTGGGGCAGGCAACGTTAAAAAACTGTTCTCTCTCGTGCTGTCAGTTGTCATTTCAGCACGCGGCAAAGGTGAGGATTATTTTTCGCCTGGATTAGCAGCGATCGTGACGGCAAAGGAATGTCCGATTCGGACAGCGATTTATTCCGGAGACGCGAGTCTCAACAACCGGAGCCGGCCAGCAGCCCACCGAGCGGCCGGCGCAGGAGCACTCGTCTCACAAGGCGCAGCGGCTCCACTACGAACGAGCGAGAAGAAATTCTCACTCAACTACAGAACCGCGGCGTGACTGCCGCACCGGGGCTCCCTCTCTCACAGCTGCGGGACTTGGTGAAACACACAGCGGGAGGGGAGCGCAGCGATCCCTCCCCGCCTCCCGCGCCAGGACGGAAGCGGACCCGGAAGTCGGGACCAATACAGCCGCCGCAGGCAAGGCGGAGGAAAACTGCTACCCGGTCCAATTCTCCACCAACGACGGCAGGCACGTCGGGCCCAGACGCCGTGGTAATCGCAACACTACAAACATTGGTCAACACGATGGGCACCATAGAGGCGCACCTGCAGCACCTAGGGGACAGGCAGCCCACTCCATCCACCTCATTCGGCGCAGGCATCCAGGATTCCAGAGGGCCCATGGCCGGCATGGTGGTTCAACCCTCTACATCGGCACAAGGGGAAGCGGCGCAGCATTCTTTGGCATCAGCGGTACCTGATCGCCCACAGGGTAGGACATACATTTCTCAGGCGTCGAATGTGTCAGCACGCCTGCGGGCAAAAATACTTCAAGGGGAAGACATCAATCTGGTCTCCATCATCCTTCCATCCCCAGAGTGTGATGTTAGCATAGCATCAGGCGTTAATATTTCTGCAGTGTTCAAAACCGCAGACCCACGACTGAACAGAGAGCTATCGATAGGGCAATTCTTCGTTGCGTTTGGAGTGTATCGAGACGTTATTTGTGCCGTATTTCCAGATAGAAGGCAGGAGTTAGACACCTACATGGCACTGATCGGTGATCTCGGCGTCAATTACGGGGGTCACGTGTTCTATCGGTACCACAAAGCCTTCGCTAGGAAAGCAGCATTATTCATTAGGCAACACAATATCCGGCTAGCTTGGTCCGTAATGGACATGGAGATACTGCTGATGGTTGCCGGGGGAGTGCAACCACTGGCGTGCAGTATGTGCGGCCGTACGGGTCACCAAGCACCGTTTTGCCCGGCGGCAGCATTGCAGTCAACATCCCAGGGGCACGCCGCACAACCACCGCTGCGGCAACAGGTGAGCCGAGGGCACGAGGGCCCAAATTTAGATCATATTCCTGTATGCCTCAGCTTTAATGAAAGTGTCTGTTCATACAAAAACTGCCGTTATCTCCACATTTGCAGCCTGTGCAAGGAGGCGCATCCAAGGTCTGTATGCTCTCGGCGCGCGGGCAGGCTCCCGCGGGGGGGGCCACGTGGTTCAAAAACATTTTGAGAATACACCCCTCAACACCTATCGACATTGCGGCACTAGCAAACGAGCTATCTTCGCACCCCGACCGGGGGTTTGTGAATCACTTGCTCACAGGCTTATCACAGGGGTTTCACGTAGGAGTCGTCGCGGAGCCCACCAGAACGTACATTGCTAAGAATCTGCAATCCGCGAGGGAAGAGCCAGGGACTGTCGCCAACCTAATCAAAGAAGAGGTAAGGAGGAAGTACATCGTGGGCCCCTTCAAGGCAGCACCATATTCGGTATTTCGCACCAATCCAGTAGGCATTGCCACGGGCAAATACTCGGGGAAGAAAAGATTAATTCTTGATCTGTCTGCCCCTCATGCGAGAGCCGTTCCGAGCATCAACAGCCTTATCCCCCCAGAGCTATTTTCCCTCCACTACATTTCAGTCGACAATGCCATAAGCTTGATTAAAAGGGCCGGCCAAGGCGCATGGCTTTCTAAAGTGGACGTAAAAGACGCATTCAAAATAGTACCCATACACCCGGCTCAATGGCATCTCTTCGGGATCCGGTGGGAGGCGAAGTTCTACTTCGCCGTGCGGCTGACGTTTGGGTGCAGGAGCAGCCCGTGCATCTTTAACAAAGTGTCCGAAGCACTCTGTTGGATCCTGCTGAATAGGGCCAAAATCCCGTCAGTACTCCACCTGCTGGACGACTTCCTGGTGATAGATTCCCCGCGGGACGGGTCAGGTTGCTCGCTACGGCGAGTGGAACAGTGCTTTCGTTCACTGGGCGTCCCATTATCAGAGGGGAAAACAATGGGGCCAGCGACACGGCTAGAATTCTTAGGCATCACACTGGACACAACCGACATGAAGGCATCTCTTCCCATGGCAAAGTTGCAGCGCATCCGTGAGTTTACCAAGCTATGCCGTGACACGGGAACCATTAGCAAGCAGCAGCTACTCTCCCTTCTAGGCCATCTCAACGTTGCCATGAGAGTAATTCCGCAAGGGCGCTCATTTATTTCTCGGCTGCTGGACTTAGCGTCCTCGGTGTCCAGGTTGCACGAGCTCGTAACACTAGATCACGGTTGTCGATCCGACCTCCGGTTCTGGTCTCGCCTGCTCGATCACTGGAACGGCGTAACATTCTTTTACAATGAGATCGTGGAGTCTGCAGATTCACTGCAATTATTCACAGATGCGGCGCCATCTGTGGGTTTTGGGGGATTCTATCAAGGCCAGTGGTTCGCCAGCCACTGGCCAACCGCTTTTTGCAGGTTCGAAACATCGATAGCGCTGTACGAGATCTACCCAGTGGCGGTGGCCTGTTTCATCTGGGGACGACACTGGACCCGCAAGCGCATCTCCATCATGTGTGACAACCAGGCAGTGGTGGACATTGTCAACAAAGGCCGCTCCTCGGCCCGAGACATCATGCCATTCATGCGAGGCATCACGTGGTCCGCCGTCACCAACAACTTCATCATCACTGCCCGGCATGTGCCCGGACGGCATAACAAACTGGCTGACTCACTTTCCCGTTTTGATTTTCAGACTTTCCAGAGGCTCTGCCCCGAGGCCCACGAAGCACCTGTTACAGTCCCTCCGTGTCGCACCCTGATGCTCTCATAGGACAAGGTCAGATAGAGCACTACATGGTGGCAGCCAGGTATTACATGCGGAAAGGCCTAGCTAGGTCTATCATAAAAGTGTACGACTTCGCTTGGCGTACATATGCCTTGTTCTGTCTGTCCGTCAGCATGCCGGTGCAACCTGTTGCTATGAAAACGGTGTGCGCGTTCATCTGCTATTGTACCGACGTGCGGCATTTCAAACCTCCATACATTCGTAGTCTGCTTGCCGGCATTCAGTTCCACATTAGATGTTCAGATCCCGAGTTCCCAAGCCTGTTCTCTCACATTAGCGTCAAGCTACTGCTCAAAGGCATCACGCAAGGGTTACCTCAAATCCCCGACTCCCGGCGTCCCATCACCCTGCCGATCCTGCAGCAGATGGTGGACACACTCCGGGGAGGGGTGTTTTCACCCTATAGCGACACCTTATTAGAGGCAGTTTTTTTGCTAGCATTTTATGCCTTCCTCAGATGCGGCGAATTTACCACCTCCGCTAAATCCTTTAGCCCGGATACCGATCTCACAGCAGGAGATTTGACCTTCTATCCTACCCATTACCAACTGCGGCTTAGACACTCCAAACGAGGCGGCGCTTGCTCCGTGATTGTGGCAAGAACGGAGTCCGACTTGTGCCCTTTCAGAGCTATGCTGGGGTATCTCCGGGTGAAACCTACCGCTGGGCCCACGACACCTCTATTTCTCACTCCCGGCAATGCGCCTCTATCTCGCACCTGGTTCCGCCATCATCTGAACATCGTACTCACTAGAAGCCACCTATCGCCGCATCACTACACTGGGCACTCGTTTAGAATAGGGGCTGCCACGTCAGCCTCCAACCAAGGCATCCCCGTGACTACGCTACAGCAGATGGGGCGGTGGTCCTCCTCCGCGGTGACTTCATACATTCGCCCTGACCTTACCACGATACTGGCAAAGCAACGAGCTTTAAGGACTTAAGTCCGGTAGGCATGCATATAACTGGTGGTGGTGGTGTCTTACAGCGCGGCTTGTCTGGGAATTTCTTCCTCTTCCCCTCGCCACAGACATAGCATGTCCTAGGTGAACGTGACCTGTCTTAACGTGTCTGTGTTTCCTAGGTTTGACGTTACCTGGCTTAACGTGTCTGTTTCCTGGTCTAACGGGACCACATCCATTACCCAAAAGATGTCCGGATGGACCAGTCAAGCTGACAACACTCTGTTTCGCGGTCCCACGGGGCCAGTCAAGCTGACTACCTTTCTGCTTCGCGGTCCCACGGGGCCAGTCAAGCTGACTACCTTTCCATTTCGCGGTCCCGCGACCGGTCACTCTAGTTAGTGCAAGTGCCGGCCTGAGCCGACCCGTCAAGCGACGGTGGTCCGTTCAGCACGGCTAAATCCAACCAGTCAGGGACATCCAAGTGACCATCTGTTTCCCGGTCTGAGCGAACCCGGTCAGGTTGTTCTGTGAGGGGCCCTCCGCAACTAAGTCTATTCTGCGGTCCCTCTCTGACCT